TATATATAGAGAGATATATATATCTATATATATGTATATATCCTGCAAGTTAAGTTCCCTCCTGCACCAACCAGTAATGGCTGTTCTGGTGGGGACATTCCCTGCCCCTTTTATGATGTATAGCAGCGGGGTGGGGAATGCACCTGCCACCACCGATTGGCCCAGGAAGGGGGAATGTTGGTCACAGTTTTAAGCGGGCTGGGCAAACTCAGGTGAACTGGGTTCACACCAAGCACTTATGACATATGGTGACAAGACTCTAACCCTTCCCCACTTTCTCCAAAAGTTGCCAAAATGTTTGCCTTTGCATACACTTTAGGGCAATACAGTGAGCAAAGCTAACGTGCAATATTGCATATGGACTAATCCAGTTCCCATTTAATGGAGTTGAATAAATAAAAGAATCCAGTCCGCTAGCTATGACGTAATATATATTGAAGCCATTGGATTAGTGTGACAGGCGGAGGAGTAGAGCTTTCTCAGTTAAGGTCGGCAGTATGCGCCTCCATACCTCCTCAGTTAAGGTTTCTTTGAATAATTTTGATGGAGATTCATAGTTGGTTATTTCACCGTGCTCTTGTTATATATTTACGTAATCAAATATTGGCTTCCATCTGAAGGGGAAATCTAGCTTGTAGCTTAATTTCAAACAGTACAAAGATGTGAAGACTTCTATGTTTAAATTAGGTTGTTGAAGTCGGTAGGCTGCTTTAAAAAAACAAACCAAACCTTTCTTTGGCTTTGCTCTTCTTTTGGATCACAAGAGTGTATTTACTGATGTACTCCTGTTGCCCAATGTCTGCATATAGCAGGTTGATGCCGGCTATACACTGACAGCGCAGTACTGGGATTGATGCCAACAATATTGTTGTGATCCACCCAGCTGCCTGATTGACAGCTCGCTCTGCCTCTCTAGAGCTAGAACCAGCTGTGCCCAACCCCTCACCTGTCTGCCCCTCCAATGAGCGCTGGAGGAACAGAGAGGGGAAGGGGGAATTCCTGTGGGGAGCCATGACTAACAGTTATCAATCTCTGCAGGGAAAGAGCAATCGGCAGTTAAGTGATCAGTCAGTTCTCTATATATAGCTGTACTCGGCTCTCATGAGAAATTAAAAGGAGGTCAGACTCCGTACAAAAGCACCTATGAAGATATACAGTTGTCAGCAATGCTGCTCCATGATATGTTTGGCTCAGGCTACCTGTTTCTTAGCAACAATTTTTAAGAACATTTGTTCTGAGAGAAACATAAAGGCTACTGATGCTGACCTCCTGAAAATGCAGGTTGCTTGGATGTCTCTGCTGTCAACACTCTGAGACTCTGACCTGAAACAAGCAAGTAGATCAGGGAAGTCATAGTGAAGTCTGAACTCTTAAAGTACATAATTGCTTAAAGTGAGTGACTTATACTCTGTTGCAACATTGCAGGTAAGGTGCACATTGCATTCCTAAAGCACAGCCCATTGATATGAATGGATTGCCTACCACATCTAAATCACACTAAAAGAAGTGCATGAGTTGTTTTTAAAATTGCATTGCATTACAACACATGGTAGTAAGTTACCATGCGTTGTGGTGCTATGCATAATTTGAATAAAGATGTCATCAGCACACCAGCACAACAGAAACTCATAAGTCAGTGCAAATCCATTTAGTGATAGATGCCACTCAGAATTTCAAGCGCTTTCAGGGGCCACACAGGGTCCCCTTCATCAGGGTCAGAGTAGACACTCTGAGCCTGATGAAGCCTGCGTGATGAGTAGCACACTCTGAGCCTGATGAAGGGGACTCCATTGCACCACGTTTTGAACAGGAAAAGTCCAAGAAAAAATTCCCAGCAGAAGACAATAACCTAGTTTTAGTCACAAATTACAGACATTATGGTAAAGACTGTTACTAGCTTATTAGCACTTTGTTTTTTTAATTTGCAGTTTTCTTTCTTATTCACAGAAATGTCTGTTTTAACATCACCCGTCTTACCAAAGGGTAGTGAATTCCTGGAGGGAAGAGACGTTGTGAAAGATTTAATGTCTGCCCTGGAGAGAATGGTAAATGAAGCCAACTTTTAAAATATTTGCCTTTATCTGTATATAAGGATACACAAGTAAAAAGATAAACATGGAGTGATGTATACAGCCATGGCCATACCTGCACTTAGGCATGTCTATGCAGTATATTTATCACTCTCTGCTGTGTTACAATGTACAACTGCTAATAAAACACTGCTTACTGGACATGCAGGCACCATCGAGAGAGTGCAATTCCATTTAGGCACAATGATAGAGTAAAATCTCCTCTTCCCAATACTTTGAGCCGGTGTGTGACATTGCAGCTGTCATACATTGGATCTATTGATCGAGAATTGAGCATTTACAAACCACTGATCACTCAGCTCATGGTCTTCTCCATGCAGAGTGGTGACTGTCAATCACCGCTACCCTCATGGATTCTCCCCTCCCCTCTCTCTGTTCCTCCAGTGCTCATTGGAGGGACAGATGGGATGGGGCGGGCACACCTGGCTCTAGCTCTGGAGAGACAGCTAGCTGTCAATTAGGTAGTGTGGGGGATCCCGACAATATTGTCAGGATCCTTTCCGGCTGCAGCGTGGCTAAAGAAGAAAAAAAGTTAGCAAATATAATTACCTTACCCCCAGGTTCTGCAGTGGAGAAGGTCAGGATACTTCCAGCAAGATAATTGGATTGCTGAGTTATCCTCCCGTGGTCCACTGCCGCCCTTTGGCTGTGGCACGCTGTTGCCCCCTTGTGTCCAGCATCACAAGCGTAAGCACATTAATTACCTTTAGCTATCTGCACGTCCTTCTCCTGATGTATGCCGCAATTGCGTCATATATTATAAATGAATGTTGTAATAACGGCCATGGGTTATCCATTCTGGACGTGTATTGAGGGCAACAATATTGTTTTTATTTACTTTTAAACTTTTGTATAATAAAAATTGAATGTGATTTTATTATTGTTGTGTACAACCCTTTTTCGTACCTTTTAAACCCCTAACTTGAGATTTTCCATTTTCTTAACCACTGCCATTCCTGTTAAATGCTTTCCTTCTTGGTATGGGTCCTATACTATCATGTGTTCAGGGTCCGATGCAGAACTTGCAGTTCAGTGGCTGATGGAGAAATTTATAGAAAATTATTTTAGTCTGCAAAATAGGTCTTGAAGGAACCCCTTAGTATAATATGAATGAAAGTTCTGCAGGAATGGCATTAGTAAGTACCCAATGCTGAATTTGTCTTTGGTAGTTTTTTCTTTTCAACTACAATATGAATGAAAAGTAAAGTGCAAGCTCCTTATTTTAGTCATGATTTTCTACAGAAAAAAAGCCCTGATCTCGGAACATTTTTAACAGTTTCATCCTACTCCCCAATTTGCCTGGCATAATATGTCAAGTCGGCTGAATTCTGTGGGGAATTCCAAAACATACAAGGGAGACCAATGAACAGGATGCAACTGCTGAAAGCACTTCCTGACTAGGATCATGTGCACATGTCAAAGTTGAATACCTTTTAAAAAGCTGCAGAAAAACAAAAAATACTGAAATATAATAGGCATGTACTCTTTTCCAAAGACATGTATTAAATCAATTTTCTACAGGGAAGTATTCTTGTACCCTATGTATATCGAATCCGCTCTCAGCTGGCATTTTCCAAACAGGTTACAGTATTCAGTTTGTTCAATTCTGCTGTGAATGGTGAAGGTTCCCTGTTAACTTCATAGTAAAGCGGACCTTTACCTATATCTTTAAAATAGCAACAAACACGCCCTTAGAAATGTTTAGTAATGACAATCTACAAATACATACTTCTAGATAATTGCCGGCTTTATATTCTGTGCATACCTAATTTCTATCTTCTTCCCCAGTCTTCTGACCGTGGCCATGTTTACTAAGGGCAGATTACTAGCTCTCATTTCACCTTTTTGATTTCTGGCACATGTGACTAGGACATGTGACCATGCACATCATGTCAGGGGAGAAAAATGCCTTTCCCTGGGATCTCGTGAGATTACAGATGAGATGACAAGGCAATCTCAGTGTGCATTGTTTTGACAAAGGAAGTCATTTTGCCCTTTCAAAGCAAGAAGGGAATGCTCCATTTTACACCTGGCATGTCTATGTGATTATTAATCATCATACATAGAGGGATGCATTGGTAGAATTTGATTTTTTTTTAGTTTAAAAGTCCGCTTTAACAGTGAGCTAACTTCATAGAGACAGCTAGCAGCCCTGATCGTGACATTTCACTTGAATTAATGTTGACGTTAGGGGCAGCTTGACATGTGCTTATGTAATAGAGCCCAATTTCAATAATAATAGGGACAGAGGATCAAACCATTGCAGCCACAAAGTCCAGCATGACAGCCAGACTACAAGCATTTACAGAAGGAGAAGTCAGAATGACATCTTCCAGGTTTTTCTCACATAAACTTTCCATTATGTAGAATCTACCTATCACTTTTCCAGCATAGAATTAATGTATTCTTTGATTGAAGTTTGCCTGGTGTTTAACACTAAAATATTTTGCTTTTCATCTTTCTTTGTAGTGCACTGAGTTTGCCAGAGTGAAAGCAGAAGTAGCATGCATTGCAGTATATGATTCAGAGGCCCTCATAGTTGGTACCAAAAAAGGAAAAAGCTTCTTGGAGGTTAGAAATGATTTCCAGACAGATTTCATACAGTACTGTAAGTATATTCACACAACAGTGGAGCCCAATTACTCTTGCTTGGTTTTGTCTTACATCTGGTGTGTTGCCTATGGAATTCATATTTTGTACAATATACATTGTTTTGCAGAAGTTGCCACCCCCCGTGTTTTGCAGAAGTTGCAGGTTAAAAAAATAAAGATAAGATTTTTGTACACACCATAACATTTTCTTTAAGTCCACTGAGGGACCCAGGAAGCCATTAACTGTTGGGTCATACTGGCACCTGAAAGAGGGTTAGACACTGACAAACAAAAACATGGTAGGCCACCCTAAGGTGGGAGACACATTACAGTGAATTGTAATGACAAGAGGGAAGTCACTCTCCAAGCTTTGCAGTTTTAAAACTCACAGTTTTTTGTCTGCTTAGCAACTTGATCCACATCAAAGGAAAGGTCTGAGAGTCTGAGAAAAGACTAGACCAAGAGGAGTGATTGTGAGAGGATGACTCCTCAACACACGATTCTCCTGCAACAGCTGAGGAACAAGTAACTTCCTGAGCAAGAAAAAAAGATATGAGCGAGGAAGCTGTAGATTCCATTATCGCAGAACCATACTGGCTTTGGCTGCCTGCAGGTGATGAAAGCTTTCCAGCGCTGCTTTCTGATGATACAAAATCTAGTGAAATCTTGGAGGTGCTTGAACCATCAGCATTGTTATTATCCACTAGGGCCCACATCAATTGTTTTCTTCACAGGAGGTCATCGGAGTGTCCTACAATGTGCTTTGTGATAGATCTGATGGCTACCATGTAACCCTATTGGATTTGTCCCAAGAGACAATCTACAAACGCCTGAGAGAGAACCTAGGACAGGTTGGGTTACAGTGTCTAAGAGCAGGCTGGTACAGAAGCAAGGGCAAGGATATTTTAGTTTAGGAGACATCTGCTAGTCTGTGGTGGCACAGAAAAGTAGAAGGTGAGGAGCTGAAGGGAGCGCTGTTGGCATAAGTTTAGTCATTTGCACAGTGATTAAGAGGACCTACAAAATCAGTAACACCATCTTTTTATTCTGTCAGTCCAGACATTTTTCAGGAAGCATATGGTTTGGGGATAGAGAATGCTTTGTGCTCATTGCGAAAAATACTAGACCTTTTGCTGAGTGGCCATTGTGCCAAGCGAGCAACCACCTGTGTTTTCAAAGCAGAGGGGAAGCCGCCTAGCTCAGTGCCAGGACTCTAAAAATTGCTGTACAGCGCTTTAGCTCCAGCTACTACAGCACTTTAAAGGATCCCTGTGGGCTGCTCAGGTATGACATTCTAACATGGAGCTAAGCTGTACGAATGTGCAACCCCAATTCCAAAAAAAAGTTGGGACGCTGTGTAAAATCTACCTAAAAACAGAATGCAATGATTTGGAAATCTCATAAACCCATATTTTATTCTCAATAGACAACATATCAAATGTTTACACTGAGAAAATGTACTATTTTAAGAAAAAAAATAGGGTCATTTTGAAATTGATGGCAGCAACATGTTGGGACAGGGTCATGCTTAGCAGGTTATAGCACCCCCTCTTCTATTAACAACACTCTGTAAACATCTGGGAACTGAGCAGACCAGTTGCTGAGGTTTTGGGAGAGGAATGTTCTCCCATTTTTTTGATATAGGATGCGTCAAATAGTTTCAATTTGGTGAACGGTCTGGACTGCAGGCAGGCCGGTTAAACCCCTGGACTCTTCTACTATGAAGCTGTCAGGGCCCGGCCTTGGAAGTGTATGGTGGATCACAGCTGCGGTTCCAACTGGGTGTGTAGTGCGGTTGTCAGGCTAAAATCCCCGGCGGCTCTCTCAATCATACACGGAGAGTTGGGGATTTAGTCATCATGGACCGCTAAATAGTAATCGGTAATAACCGTCGAGGTAATAAAGAATATTAACTCATATCCCTGATGTTGGCAATCCTATCTGGAATTGTGGTATAAGCGGATGGTAAAGTCTCTATGACAGATAACAGCAGCTCTCCCCTTCACACAGCATAAATGGTAATAGTATTGCAAAATGAGATAGGTGATACCCAAAGTCTCCACCAGAGGGCAGCGTATATGAGCCGAGATACTTGCAAGGTAGCTCTATCAGATACTTGCGGTTTGGTGGTATGAGCGATCAGGTTCCTCCAAGAGAAGTCCAGTGGATGTTGGCTGCTGGGGAGCTGTTTGGATCCGTGAGGAGAGGTTCGAGGCGGCTGGTGAGGTTCCTGGGGGTGTTTGGGCTATGATCTTAATCATCGAACACCCCACAGCATCTTTGGCAGGTTTAAATAGCCCGCGGCTGTGACGTCACGCGGCCGTGGGCTACTTCCGCGTTCCAGCTTGGAACGCATGGTACTTCCGTCAAGGGGGAGGAGGAGTGCGGCGGTCACCGCGGCCGATGCGCCCCAGCCTGGAACGCAGTCGGGAGGAGCCAGGACCCGTGGGATATTACAGAAGCCATGCTGTTGAGATATATGCAGTATGCGGTTTAGCATTGCCCTGCTGAAATATGCAAAAGCCTTCCCTGAAAAAGACGCCGTCTGGATGGGAGCATATGCTACTCTAAAATCTGGATATATCTTTCAGCACGCAGGACGCATCACCCATGGTTGCCAAAAAGAATGTCAAACTTCAATTAGTCTGACCACAGAACAGTTTTACACTTTGTGGCAGACCATTTTAAATAAGTTTTGGCCCAGAGAAGACGGCGGCGTTTCTATGTCATGTTCAGATATGGCTGCTTCTTTGCATAATAGAGCTTAACTGGCATTTTTGGATGGCATGGCAACTATGTTAACAGACAGTATTTCTGAGCCCATGTGGTGATATCCATCAAAGAATGTTTTAATGCAGTGCTGTCTGAGGGCCCGAAAATCACGGGCGTCCAATATTGTGTTTTGGTCTTGTCATTTGCACACAGAGATTTCTCCAGATTCTCAGAATCTTTTGATGATATGTACTGTAGATGATATATTTAAAGTCTTTGCAATTTTACATTGAGGAACATTATTCTGAAAATTGTTCGACAATTTTTAGATGCAGATTTTCATAGATTGTTGAACCTCTGCTCATCTTTACTTCTGAGACACTCTGACTCTCTAAGATGCACTTTTTATACCCAATTATGTTACTGACCTGATGCCAATTAACCTAATTAGTTGCAAATTCTTTTTACAGGCCTTCCTTGTCAGCTTTTTGTTGCCCTGTCCCAACTTTTTTGAGACGTGTTGCTGCCATCAATTTAAAATTTTCATTTTCTCAGTGTAAACATTTGATATGTTTTCTATTTTGGATAAAATATGGGTTTATGCGATTTTCAACTCATTGCATTCCGTTTTTATGTAGATTTTACACAGCATCCAAACGTTTTTGGAACCGGGGTTGTAATTATGCATAAAAAGCTGTAGCTGGAGTGCAGCTTTAAGTTTTTACAATTTTAAACAATTTGAGTTGGTTACCTGACCTTTTCTGGAAAGAATCAGAATAAGAACGTTGGTAGTCTTTTTCCTCTATTTCTATACATTAGTTCTGTAGTTAAAACACAACCTTCTTTTTTTTTTTTTTTTTTTTTTGGTTCCACACAATTGTTTTTTTGTTTAAAAACAACCTTTTTTTTTTTTTTTTTTTTTTTTTGTTGATGCACAGCTAAAAATTGTAAAATAGTCACCTTTTATATCTATTACTTTGGTGTTGACATCCTAATAATTTGTTGCTGTAACAGTAATGCCCTGTTTTTTTGTTTTATTTACAGGCAATTTGGATAAAAACTGTGTTTCAGAATCCGTAACCAAGAGGTCTAGATTAAAATCTGAACAATCAAATATTGAATCTCTCTGGAAAGCAGTGGAGGACTTGTTTTGTGAATGCTACGGTAATGCATGTGGCTGTTTTAGCAACATCTCTGTAGATTCAAACGTGTAATTTCTAAAAGAAACTTTATTGCTCTTGCTGTGTTACCTTATAAGTAGTTTTAAAGTATATTTCAACGCAATGTTTTATCCCTTTTAAAAATGCTCAGGTACAGAATCATAATTCTCAATGTGCTCCGAACGTCCTGTTTGAGCTGACAACACTGCTATTGCTGCTTTGAAATCCCAAGTAGCATCATCGGCCTGCCTATCCCTCACCTTTTCTGTCCCACTCCACATGCATACATTGATTTTTTTTCCCAGCAATGCTGCTGCCTCCACTTCAAAAAGTCTGCCCAAATGCTGTGTGTATGTAAAGGGATTTTGGGAGATGTAGTTCTGGGGCTGTATCTTCAGTAGGAATAGCTTCCAGCAGCTGCCTCTGCAATAAATATACAAGCCTGGTGATGACCTCACAGGGAGTAAAACTCTCAGCAGAGGAATAAGGGAACATTAAATCTGTATGATAGGTTTTAATTTTCAGTATAATGTACTAACTGTTCAATAGAACTCAGTGCAATTAATAAAAAATATAGAAAGTAGCAAGTTTGGTTAGTAAAAAACATTTGTCTTCAGTATGTTAGTAGATGACATATATCTAATTATTTTTTAATCATTTTAAATTGTTGTCTTTTAATAGTAATATAAATATATATATTTCCTTGTAGGTAAAGCTTTAGGAACATCAGCTCCAGTGCCTATCCCTTATGATATGTTGACTAGAGACCCTACTGCTGTCACAGTCTGTGGCCTTCCAGAAGAAATATCAGTCAACGAGCCATCCATGTATGATATTCAGACAATACATAAGATCTTAGATAACAAATCGAGCATATATTTTAACATTAGGAGGTGAGGCATCTACATTTGGATTTCCATATGCATCCGTTTGTTATCAGTTTGGTTTATTGATGTTCAAATCTAAGAATATATATGTTTTTCAAATTCTTTATTTAAAAGTTTCACCATTACCGGCAGGTCAGGTAGCAACATAATACAGGGACTCAACTATTGGCACAGCCAGAAAGTGTGATAAGAAAAAAACTGAGTTAAGTACAGTCAAATTGCAGTTATCCAGCACCCACAGGGATTGGTAGATGCTGGATAACTATAGTTTCTGGTTGCTTCAGAGTCGCCGCCGGCAGGTGAATGTAAACAGCGGGCAATGACCGGGAGATGTAGCAAGCCTGTTACTGGCTATTTCAAATTGCAATAGCCAATAGCAGGCTGAGTATTACACCTGCCATTGAGCAGAGGAGCAGACCTAAGAGAGAAAGTTCTCTCCTCACGTTTATTCTGCTGGTTTATTTTGAAAGTGGATAGGGATCCATATGTACTAAACTAAAGTGGGGCTGGGAGAGAGGTGAGCTGGGTAGTAATATAAAAGAGAAGTTCCTCGGCATAAGCCGCAACCCTTCTTTGATGACCCTCGGCTAGTAATAATTTTGTTGTGCTTGACAGGTTGGAGAAACCTCTCAAGTGTAAGGACAAATATTAGCAGGGAGAGAGGGCAACCCTGTTGAGTGCCATTGTGGTTTGTAATGGGTCGGGAGTTGGAACCATTAAATCTTAGGAGTGGTTGAATAGGAAGAGCTTTTATTCAAGAGTGAGTTGGTAATGGGATACAAAGACGGACCAAGGTTTGACCCAAGAAGCCCCATTCAACCCTATCAAAAGCTTTTTCTGCATCAGTAGACAGCAGAAGAATGGAAGATGCACATAAATAACAATAAAAACCACTCTATCTACATTAACTTTTTCAAGTTCAACATTTAAACAAGCATAACAATGTAAAATAATTTGAATTTTAGTCCCTTTTTGTGTCTGCTCCTGTTGTAGATAAGGAGTTTGAACTAGGAAAAAAATCACAGCTACAGTATTATTGTAATGGTACAGTTTTGTGAACTTGGTATAAGCTGTGCTGTTGGGAAGTGAGAAAAGATGTCAATTTCAAGGGTGACCTTTATTGTATTTACCATTTGATAACAGCTCTCATTTTAAATTATTGTTACTTGAAGGTTTGACTACCTTGTGTTTTTTTAATTTTTATTATCAGACCTCTTCCTTATGGGAATAACTCAAAAGGTAAGTACCTACTTCTAAGTCTCAATAACTAGTTTTTACATTCATTTAGATTCATTTGTTTTCTCTTTTTTGCCTCTTTTTTTTTTTTAAATGTGGTGTTTTATTTAGTAAAGGATGGCTGTCATATATATAACAGTCTTGATAAGTGCAAGCAATGATGGTTTTTTTCCTGTGTTTTGCATTTGCTAATCTTTTGTAATTTTGTTATAGACGAAGACCATGTAGATGAAACACAGGCGTCTGTTTCCGAAAGGTATTGCTTTGCTTACAACAGGAGTTTTTTTAAGTTAACATGCAAAAATAGTCTTCCATGAAAAACAGAGCATAGTTATACTCTGTTCTAAGTCTGGTTCCCAATTGTTTATTTGCATAGAGAAGCCTAGCAACAACCTTTTGTTTTATCAGTGACAAAATGGGCCTTCTTCAGTGCTACACATACTTAGTATAAAAGTACATGGTCACTGTATATAGCACCTGTTTGCAGTAGTGGGGAAATTAATGGAGCCTTTAGTAGAATGTCAGTGCAACCTAAGAGATAGTAGGTGTATTTGACCAGTTGTGGTCACTAGCAAAGACCTGAAGAGTAAATCTCCACAATAGGGAAAGAGCAAGGAAGACAAACTCTCAGATTCTAATTCTTCTCTGATGTATTGAAAACTAAAAATAAATTTTTTGGCTTGTTCTACTTTAAAGAGGACCTTTACCCATATCTTCAAAATAACAAAAAAATGACCTTTAGAAATGTTTTTAGGAATGACAATCTACAAACACATACCTCTAGATAATTGCCGGCTTTGTATACCTTATTTCTCTTTTCTTCCTCAGTCTTCCGACAGTGGCCATTTTAACTAAGGGCAGATTACTAGCTCTCTCTTTACTTCCTGGAACTCTGGCACATGTGACTAAGACATGTGACCATGCACATCATCTTAGGGGAGGAAAATGCCTTTCCCTGATATCTCATGCGATTACAGATGAGATTTCCCAGCAATACACTGCTGATGCAACACTTGGGCACATTATATCACTTTTGCCAAAGAGAACCAGGAAGTAGAAAAGAACAAATTGTAAGTAAAATGAAAATCTGTTTGTTTAACTAGTGAAGGTAAGAAGGTTTCAAATAAGCATGCGGTGCTGCATGCTGATGTAATTTTTAGCCAAAGGGGTAAAAGTCCACTTTAAAGCTGATAATACACAGATGAAATATATATAAGAACTGTTTTACCCACCAAAGATTTGTATTTCTATCTATTCACTTTTTAGATTAGCACACTTCTGCCTCACCACACAAACTTGTCTGGCTGGGGAGACCTACTTTTTCCCTGCTGCACTTATGGGTCTCCTCCTTAACTCCACTCTGTGACTGAACAGTGAAAGGAGAAGCAGGAGACTAATAAGCTCATCTCTGTACTCCGGTCATCATGCTACTTGCACTGCAGCATAACTGACTAGCTCCTTTTTGCTTCTGCCTTGCCCAGGGAAAATAAGCCTTCCTAAACCTCTGGGGGAGTTGAATATTGACTGAATCAACAATCTAAGGTTTTATTACTTATAAATATTAGTAGCCATTTTTTTTGTGCATTTAGAAACACGTCCAGCTTCTTTTTTTTTTTTTTTTAATCCAACTACAGTAATCAGCACCCATGGGGATTGGTAGATGCTGGATACCTGCAGTTTCTGGTTGCTTGAGAGTTACTATTAACTCTCAAGCAACAACCTCTCCCTCCAACTCGCCCCATTTATCTGCTGGCTAGATTCTGCTAGTGGCTATTTCAAATTGCCATAGCCAATAGCAGGCTGGCTATTGCGCAAGCCCACTGCCCGTTGTTTACAGTCACCTGCCAGCTGAGGAATCTAGATGTCGGGCAAAGCAAGATTTTTTTTTTTCTGGTGCTTGAGAGCTCTGGTTGCTTGAATGCTGGATAATGGGGGAGTTTACTGTAGTTGGCTAAAACTGGCTTCTGTGGGTCTGATCCATGTTTTCACATCTCTTAATGTGAAGAAGCCTTTCCGTTGGTTGAGGTTAAACATCTTCTCATCCATACACAGAGTGACCCTTTATCATTTGCAGTGACCTTCATGTTAACAGCTTTGCACTAAGTTTTTTTACAATATGGACAATGTATGCATTTATACAAGGTGATCGTATCCCACTTAAAATGCCTCTTTCAGAAGAGATCTAATACATTCATTTAATTTCATCTTTCCTCATAGCTGAGGTCCTTGATGCCTCTCCTTTGCTTAGTTGCCCTTCTCTGCACTATTCAGTTCTGCAACATCTTTTTTTTTTAACTTAGAGCTTTAACTGCAAACTGCAAATTCAGGATGATGTCTTACTAAAGCTTTGTACAGGGGCAAGATTGTGTCTCTCTGGAGTCTATATCTCTTATTACAAAAGAGCATCTTGGTCACTCTAGGAACTGCAGCTTTGCATTTTATGCTGTTATTAAAACTGATATCTACCTGAACACCGAGATCCTTCTACATCATTGACTCCCTCAGATGAACGCCCCCTAAATTGTAGGATGCATGAAGTGATACAATACTGTAATGATATAATGAATGCAGAGCTGCATTCTTTTGTATCTTTTATATCTGCCAGGAGCTTACCTATAAAATTTGCAGCAGTGGCATAAATTATAGAAAGAAAGAATCTCACGTTGGTAAACCATTTCTACCTCTTAGTTGTCACTAGAGCAGGTATACCAATTGGAAGACTTTCCCATACCTTCTGTTCTATGACAAACATTGATGTGCTTGTCACCTTTAGAGGACTAATGTCCCAGAAACATTAGTGGTTGACATTTTGTCTATTTAACATGGATCTTCACTTCATTTTGGATGCGAGACACTTTTCTTGGCAATAAAAACCTTACCCTAAACCTTCCACATGCTCTGCAAAACTAAAAAATAAAGTTTTGGCTTTACATACACTTACATTTTTGAAAAATATCTGTGTGTTTGTGTTCCAAGAGATGATATTTACACTAGTATTAGTATGGTTGCACAAATACATGTATACAAAAGGATTCTCTGAATTGTCTTTTTTCTGTTACTGCAGCTCTTACCCTGTTCAAGTGAAAACTGAGCCAAGCGATGATGGTATGTCACAGAAGGGATGCAGCTTTTTACCAGCTTATACTAGTAACCTTTACAGCAGAGGTCCCCTAACTTTTTAAACAAAGGTCCAGTTTACTGTCCGTTACACTGTTTAGGGACTGAACTGTGGTCAGTAGGAGTAAAAATAATGCCCCTAACCCGGTGGTCCATGTGAGTAAAAAAAATGCCTTCTCCTCAGTGGTCAGTAGAAGTAATAAATGCCCCTGTGTCAGTGGTCAATAGGATTAAAAAATTCCTCTGCATCAGTGGGAATAAAAAAATGCCCCTGCAACAATCGTCAATGGGAACCATGCCCTGGAGTCATGGTCAGTGAGAGTAAACCATGCCTCTGTTGAAGTAAAAAATGCCCCTGCGTCAGTGGGAGGAATGGTGCCCATATGTAAGTCGTCAGTGTGAATTTGTGCCCCATCATTGGTGTTTAGTGGCCCCGTACGTTGAGGACATAGAGCCTACATAGTGACGCCATGCCTAGGACTATACAGGAGCCATCAGGAAGTAGATCACTCTGCCTTATAGTTCCTGTTGCATTGCCAGGCACTGCAATGCTCTGCCCGGGGCTGCCGCTCTGCATGCATAGGCTCCCTCCCTATGGCTTGTTATAAGAAATCCCTGCACTCGGGGGCCTAGCCATTGCAGGGCCAACCGTGGGTTGTAATTTATGGAACTTTGCCTGCCATACCTGCTAGCATCTCTCTTTCACCACTGCTACAATTTAAATGCCAGCCATTCTGAACAGGTAAAACTCCAACATTTAGGGGTAGTGTTGAAGCATGTCCACTACCTACCTGAACAGTTTAAAGTGACTTAAAAAGAACCCCAAAGACAACTTATGAAAGTACAATAATTAGCATAAGTGTGTAAGACACCCTAGTGATATAGTCACCCACAGGTGGAACTACAGCACTCGTAGGGGTGATGCAAATATCTTACACACTTGGAAGTAGAGCAAAATTTCCATTCACCAGCAGCAGGAGTTAAAAGTAATGAGAACATGTTTGCAATAGAAACACTGTTAAAAGCAACATTTTTATAATATACCACTTTTAATGGTATGTTTCCTGCTGGAAGTAAACTAGTTAATACCTTTCGATACCTCTATTTCTATACATTGATATTGTTTTCTTTAATACTGTATTGGAACATTACATTTAAAGACATTTATCTGTCTATCTTTCTGTTCCACTTTGTTTATCATTACAAAAAATAAGTGATGATTTTATATATGTAATTGCAGATAATGCATTTGAATTAACCACCGTTATAATAAAAGAAGAGACAGATGGCCCAGATTACTATCAGTTCTGTTATCAAGGTAATAGATATGTATGTGCATAATAACGCTCAGTAATGTAAACTAGCAATTACTAGTTTACAGTAATGTAAACTACAGAGATACAGCAGATTATAACCAGTATAATATACAGCATGTACAGTAAGATCAAGTCTAGAAGATCTAGTGTGCATATTTTTTTTTCAAGTTTTTATAAATATTTATGAAATAAAAGAAAGGGTATACATTTTAAGTATTGTTGACATGCAAATCATTCACAAAAGGAGTTGTGTCTTGTATACGATATTAGTAACATAAGGAAAATAAGGGGGCAGATCAAAGCTTAACTGTGTTAAGTTTTTAGATTAATGCTTAGATTCCGTGCATAAAACAGACTCTGTACCTCACTCCCTACACACTATGTAACTTTATAAGTACTAAGACTCGTCACATAGACGGAAATAACTTTTTATTTGTGTTGCCCCTGAAAAATGACATTTACCTAACAAAACAAAATAACATGCCCATCTGGAGAGCTGATAAAGCAAACGAGGAAATAAAAAGAACAGCGGGTTTAGAAAAAACAGAGGTAAAGGGGTTAGTAAAGGGAAGAGGGTGCTAGAAAAGCCAAGAGGCCTAGATCCTCCCCTATTTTCAAATAGTGACCACAGGATGTAATAGTGTGATCAATCTACAGATACAAGAGAAAGTAATTTGAGTGCCCTAAGTAATGCCCTGACTTATCTTCTATCCCAGGAGATCATTCATTCCATTTGGTACATGGAGTACATTTCACACATCATGTCACTTTGATATGCCAATAGCGGGCTGTTATGGTTCTGGTCGAGACCAAAAAGTGGTGAAGAATGACTCCTTTTAAATTGGGACATGGGATCATAGATAGGATGATCTGGGGGTCTGATAGGAATGAGCTCTCCAGTTAATGTTTTATATATTCTGAATATTTTTTTTGCCAGTGCAGTGGCAGCGTATTTGATATACAGTCTATCCTTTACAATGGAGCAGCTTTTGCTAAATAATGCAGATTGGTGTGCACAGCTGAGCAATGTGGAATATTTATTGTACAGCACAATAAATATAACTGAACAGTATAAAGTATATAATGTACAGCTGGGTGCTATGGAGTACAGAACAAACAGCAGAGTGGCATGAAGAATACTACATACTGTATACAGCAGGGTGGAGTAAATAATGGGTCCTTGTAAAGTATTACTATACTTTAAATTGCACATTAAAAAAGTTAATGTACATTTAATAGAAGATGCACAATAAAAGGCTCATGGTTAGTGAGTAGGGTTTTACAGTACAGGGCTAAGCATAAAATTTTTGGATGCAAGAACTTTCTTCCCAAGCTAATTGTACATAGGTTTGACAACATAGATAGTTTTGTGTGCTTTATTGAGATGTATCCTCACCCTATCATAGTAGATTTGTCATCTAAATGTTGAACTGCAAGGCCCCCTCAGAGATTGACTCCCGCCATGGATTATAAAAATCACATACACGTACAAATTAGAGGGAGACGTACAAATCTCTATAGGAAAGCTGAGCATGAAAATGTGCGATAGCAAGCAGAAATAAAAAAATGTGTAACCTTTACTAAGTTCATGTAATCTTTACAGTACTCTGAAATCACTTTCCTTGGAAATGCTCAGGCAAATATAAGTATATATTTATTCCTAAAAATGTGCTTTTTTATATTTTAAGGTCATAGTTTTGGTGAGGACTCCAATGAAGGAGCTGACATGGAACATAATGAAGATAATGAAGGTAAAGATTTGACCGTCTATCTATGTGCAACAGTGCCGCTCTCTCAATTTACAAAATTATTCCAAACAATTTAACACTTCTATCCGTATATAATCAACAGTGCAAATCACTGTGCTTTCATAACATTTTATTCTATAGGGTCTTGGCATTCAGAAAATATATAATGTTGGGGGGTTTTACGTCATTTTCAGGCCTAAAATGTGGAATATAACATGGGTGCAAAAAATGAAAAAAGGGCCTCAGTCATGAAGGGGTTAACAGAGTAATGTACACAACCCTTTGACAGTTCAAATATTAAAAAAAAAAGTATTTTTCACATTTATAGTGTAGTCCAAACACTAATGAATTGCTGAAATTGGTGCTGTCATGTTTGTGTCTTCAGTTAGAGGTAACCATCACTCCCCATCCACACTCCTAGTCTTCCAATTAAACAAGGTGCCACCACCTCTCCTCCTATGTTACACCCTTATAGAAAACCGCTCGCCTATTCCAAAGACCTCTATGACAAGGTCTGAATATAGCTGGTCCCCTCTTACCCTCAGGTCGACGGGGATGTACCGGCAAGCACTGAATCCTGAGTAGTTATTTGATGTGAAATCTTATTATTGAGGGAGGACCACATCCCCAGAAAAAACAAATTGGCAGTTCCTTTTTCCACTTATTCTTTATTTTATTACAGGTATTTATATAGCGTTGACAATTTACTCACATCAGTCCCTGCCCTCAAGGAGCTTACAATCCAAGGTCCCTATCGCACATACAGAGCCAAATTAGACAGGAGCCAATTAGCCTATCAGCATGTCTTTGGAGTGTGAGAGGAAACTGGAGTACCCGAAGGAAACCCACGCAAGCACAGGGAGAACATACAAACTCCTTGCAGATAGCATCCTGACTGGGATTCAAACCAGGGACCCTCCAATGCAGCAAGGCAGAAGTGCTAACCACTAAGCCACTGTCTGCAGCATGAGTAGACAGACAACACTTGTTAGAATCTGCATGCGATTAAATAGAACTTAGATATGATTTTGCTACATTTTTTGCGTTGTATTAGTAGTTTACTAAATGTTACACTTGTCACTTGTATTTCCCTTTTTTGTCCTCCTATCTTCAGGTTATGAATATGTACCGCCTCATAAGAAGCAGAGAAGTGATGGAATACAACCAGTCAATAATCAATGCAAGAGAAAAGCAAAAGAGTTTAACTTTGGTAAGTTGCATATTAAAATCCATAATGTGAAATATGAGTACTTTACTTCTTCACAATAGGAATATTGAAGTTAAGTTTTTGGCATCCCTCCCGTTTTGAATTCCTTGTGATTTGGCCCTGCTGTTTTTTGTTTTTGTTTTTTTTACAGACAAAAACTCTTATGCAACGATCACAATAATTTTTTTTTATTTTATGCTTTATGGTTAGAATTATTTTTTTACAGTTTTCTTTGTCTGGTTTCAGTTTTAATTATCTGTTCCTTCTTCAGAGAAATGGAATGCTAGAATTAATGAACTGAGGAAACAAGTGGAAGAATTATTTGAAAAAAAATACGGTATGCCTTTATGTTATGCCTTAATGTTGGGGATGTGCAGGTAAGGAGAGAGCTGCTGCCCATGTCCATATATTCGTGGACGCGCAACATCTCTCAAGAATCACTGTCAGTCATCAGTGGGGAGGATCCCGTCAGATACGTCGGGATGTCTTCTCATTGCGGCGCTTAGCCCCCCCACCACCTAAAATAAGGTTTTACAGCCTTACTGTGCATTTTGGCTAATTAGAGTAAATTACATTATTTACTTATTTAGCCTAAGGAATGCATTCATAAAAACAAGATAGAACCCCATAGTTCTCCTTTAACTTTTTGTCGTAGACCCTAGTGAAATCACCTTACAAAATAGTCTATAAAGTAGATCATATATATGAAAAAGCCACTTTCTGACGGGACGTACACTGTACGTCTCCCGTCACCAAGGGGTTAATATAGACTTCTTATTTTCATGATTTTGAAGTTCAAGTTAAAAAAAATACATAAAATGTTAGTTTACACTTACAAGTTGAACGCTTATTATAAAAATACAGTTGACCAGCAACCATAATACTTTCCTTTTAATTACCTATTTTGAAGCTGCTGCTGTCTATGGAGGAAAGAGGGTAGAGTTTTCAAAACATACAATCGTAAAAACACGAGAGTTTCATAATTCTGTTACTGTATATCAAGCATTCTTGGTTTAGTATTACTGTTTGCATTTATTGTGTCCTGCAATTGTGTTCTGCTGCAGGATATTAAATGATTCATGCACTCAAAGCTTTATTAGATCTCATAGCCCTGAAGAATCCTAACTATGTTATATTCATTCTTTTAAAATTTCATTAGCATACAGTTCAAGGTCTGCTTTAATACTGATGGACTATTTTTGCATCTTTTGTTAAAAGCTGAAGCCATAAATGCAAGTGGTCCAATAGCAGTTCCATATCACCTTTTCCAGTCTTATTCAGAAGACCTGTATGTTGAAGGACTGCCAGAAGGCATTCCTTTTAGGAGGCCATCAACGTATGGAATTCCACGCCTCGAAAGGATACTGCTGGCACGGGAAAGAATCCATTATATCATCAAAAAGTATGTCTCATTTAAGTAGGGTAAAAAAAAAATACAGAGCTCCCTTTAGCTTACATCTGCAGATTTCTATATTTAACACAATAACAAATAAATATGTAAACGCAATTATTTAAAATACATGAACTTGGGGACTTCTGCATAGTCATGTGAGTTCATTCGTCAGGGCATATGCTAAAATTGTACACTGAGTTGCACATACACAGCTCTGTACATTGCCAGGAAGGCTTAGAACAGGCAAGTAAATATCCTTTATTGCAGAACACACACAGTGTGGAAGACATTTCTCAATTCTGGTGCACAGCAAAGCAATGCTAAACAGAAGCAGTAAGACAGATCATGCAACAGATTTACTTCGTCATAAGCTTGAGTCAAAAGTGCTTCCCTTAGTTGCTCAGAGTGAAAATCTGTTGAACCTTCAGTTGCGAATCTCTCTTTGCAAACTTTCATACTTGCCTGCCTAGGAATACAGATGCTTATCGGTCTGTAAACCTGTGAGAGACTTTGCTGAATGAGAGGCAGTCTGATTTGCGACTAAGGCCTGGTTCACACTGAGTGTAATGTCGTAATGTCGCAGCTGACTCAGTGCCACAAAAAGCTTGCCTCAAAAAACCCCATTCATTCTTATGGCCCCTGTTCATGCCTGCGTGTTTTGTAACAATAAGCAAAACGCCTGTTGCTGAAAAAAAGTACATGAGCTCATTTTGTTTACATAGAGTCCATAGGAAACGCTTGGAAATGCGCATTGCAATTGATTTTGCACATTCTTATGCATCTTTTTGCCATTTACATCAATGTGTTACAATCTGCTCATAATTCACACCTAGGTGACAGCGTTTTCGTAAAACGTGCGTACATTAAGCCGCATGTTTTACGAAAACGCTGTCGCCTAGGTGTGAATCAGGCAATTTTAAAGTATGTTCTCACTTGTAATAGAAGATACTTAGAGGGTTATTCACAAAGCTGCCGAAGGCAGCCGTGTGAATAACCGACCCGAAGTGAAGTTCGGCTATTCACTTCAGGGTTGTATGGCTGATTTCAGCCGTACACCGACTGAAATCAGCCATACATTGGCTTGCTGCAGCTGGCGATCGGCTTGCTGCACAAGACGTTTGACTCAGCCGATCCAACATCTGGATCTGCCGTGCCGAACCTTCGGCAGGCTACTCGCTGCTGTTCGGCCTATTCTCATAGATGCCGAACAGCAGTGAGTGAATAGCCGAATGCCGCCCAGTGGCATTCGGCTCGGCTATTCTGCTCGGTACCTCTGTGGTACCGAGCAGGATAGAAAACCAGTTAAAAAAGTAGAAAAAAAAATTACAAAACGATTGGGCGGAGCTAGCAGTGACAGCTAGCTACGCCGAACTGTTTTCTATTGGCCAGGTCCAGCTGTGATTACAATGAGAGCTTAGCAGGGCCGGCGGTGATATCAAAGCTGACTCCACTAAGCTCTCATTGTAATGACAGATCAGCGTCCCCTGGTTACCCAGTAACCAGGGGAAGCTGTTCTGTCATTACAATGAGAGCTTAGCAGAGCCAGCTTTGATATCACCGCCGGCCCCTTTAAGCTCTTATGACAGTTCAGCGTCCCCTGCTCACTAGGTAACCCGGGGACGCTGAACTGTCATTACACACTGAGAACTCCACCGAGTTCACAGTGTAAGGACAGATCAGCATCCTTGATCTGTCTCTGCATGTGGCCGGAGCCAGCCGTGACATGATGGCTGGCTCCGCCCAGCTGTCAGTAGCAGGCTGTCGGCCAGCTTCGGCTTTCACCTCGGCTCAGTCAAGCTGAAGCATATGCCTTCGGCTCGACTGAGCCGCTCGGGCAAGTTCGGGAGCTGTACGGGCTATAGTGAATAGGGGTTCCCGTAACCGAAGCTAGCCGAAGGATCAGGCGAAGCCACGGCTGGATCCCTCAGCAGCTTTGTGAATAACCCTATTAGTTTGACGGGGAGAGAATATACTTGATATATTTCTCCTAGGTACTGGCTGTTGCATGGAGGTTTTGTGAGCTTTAGGCCGTAACTATTCCAGTTATAAATTTTTAAAAGGAGAGATATTGATGAGAGATATGAATGATGCTGTAGCAGATATGCAAAAAATCTGAAACATTAAGGGGGAAAAAAAGAATTTAGTAAATGATGTCACACTTCAAGGAGGTCTATTGGGTACAGAAAGGGTAAAGAAAATGTTAAAACATTTATATCATATGACACATAACATTGCATTACCCCTTCTCTCAAACTCCCTAGATCCTTATCTCTATAGCATCTCTATAGCATAACTATTTTAATCCTGAAATCCATGTACACTTTAAGTTTTTGAGTAACTTTCTAAATTTTTCTCCTGTTGGTAGCAGATCATTTATTTAGCAAATTACAGTCATTTAGTAGTCAGTCTTGGTAGAAATATGAAACTTAGGGATTTGCATTCTACCATTTATTATTACTGGCAATATATAGCCTTTTTCTGGCACAGTAAGAAGAGCAGCTTTGGCAATTGTATATATTTTTTAATGTGGCCAGAGTTAGACATTAAATCCATGCACTGTGCTACAGTCACCACTGTAATGGACTGGCAGGCAATACAAATGATACGATTTTTGTCTTGCCGAAAATATGTTGTATGACATTATTCTTTTTAAACATACTGAAATCTAAAATTTACATTGAAGGCTTCTTCAATTTCTCTCTAGACCTGAACTTTTGAACACTACAAAAGAAGCCATGACAGTTGACAAATCAAACACAGGAGGTAAGTGGACCTACCTAAATTTGCATACGAATGGGGACTACTCCTTCCAGGCCTATTCAGTAAAGAATATTTTTTTAATATAAGGAGAATAAGGTGTGCTTGTGCCACAATAGCTTTAACAAACAATGTGTGGACGTCCAGACCACTATCTCACATCTATGGGTACCTTGAAACTCTTTATTAAATTTTTGAATGAATTATATTTCTGAGTTGCTTTAAACTCTGAATCTTCTTGTTTCTCATTTGCTTGTTAGTGAAAGAAGAGTGGTATACAAGAATAACAAAATTAAGGAAAATAGTTGACCAGCTGTTCAGTAAAAAGTTTGGTAAGAGTCATTATTTTAACTCCCAATCATTTTGTATATGGTGTGTATTTCAGTATAATCATTTAAAGTCTAGTAAATACTTTTTTTTTTTTGCTCATGTCCTACTCGCTTTTTAATATAAATGTTCACATATCCATATGTACCAAATAAAAACACAATACAGACTTCAAAACACATGGAACACTCCCAAAACTATTTTTTTTCCTTGTAAAGTGAGGGATACAGGAATTCTCAAACCTTCGGGTTATAGTGCCTTCTACAGGAATTTTGGACACTCTCAAACAAACATATTGTAGCACGTACGGTAACAGGCCAGCCCTGGGTATAACCTGGGCATCGAGCAATGGTTTCTTAGATTTGTAAGGCTCCCACCTGCTCTTCTGTTACTATGTAAGTTCTGCCAGGTGAACATTTCTGCCTCATCTGATAGCAGCTTTGGACATAAGTCTCTTCAAGCAGCTCTTTGAATTTCTGACATCCCCCACATTCCTCTTGTTTATATTGGACCTGTTCGTGATTGTTACACCCTCATCCGTGCCTTTCCTCCCCTAAAAATGTTTTTCCACCTGCTCCGCAGGATTGAGATCAAGGGCATTCTGCATTCTAACATTCTCATCATATTCAAAAATACTACTAAAGGTTACCTGTGAAATGTCTACACCCAGTAAAAAAATCAATGTAAATGAACAGAAACCTACTGTTTATTTGCAAAACGGCTTAAAGAAAATATTAGGTGACTACTAAAATATCATACAGTCCTTTGCTTCAATCGATCCATCTTTTAACTGTGCACATAATATAACTATAATGTGTATATAATGTAGCTTCAGGGAAAAAAAAACAGCTCTGTAAAGTGAATTTCTAGACAAAACTGGAGCAGCTGTCTAAGAGGGAAATTCCGCTCACCAGTTGTACCCATACAGCAAAATATAAACTGACAGGGTTTTTAACCCTTTCCTACAACAGCAAAAAGTTTCAGGTTTACATACACCTAAGTGAAGAATGATATACATGGGTCCCTATATCTTATACCTGAAAGAATTTCAAAAATGTAGAACCTGTTTGTGGGTATTTCTGTTCCTCAGCATATAGCTTATCAGACTGGAATCAGATTTCAATCAGGAAAAAAACTTTTCTCCCGTGAACTAAATGGATCCTTTTTTCTTGCACCTTCTGACTATCATAATAATTGGCACATCGCAGACACTGTGTGCAAAACTGTTAATATGTTTTATTTGGATATCCAGACCTCTCATCTCTTTAGAATTAGCTGAAACTGTTTTGTTTAGACAGGGGTTACCTACGGGAATATTTATGCACAATGCACAGGCTGTAAAAGAACAGACACTATACTTACCTGTAGTGATAGAGCCACTTTAACTAGCAAAATGGTTTCCACAATATCTTTTTTTTTTTGTAAATTCTTTTTATTGGATTTTTATGCAAAACATAGTACCGTGCCGTGACATCCGTGAAGGCACACAGTTCAGTACATCATATACAACCAAAAAACATATATAACATATATAACAACCCCAGCCCCAGTAAAGGGACCTCTCCCGTCCCAATGCTCCCTCCCCCCACCCTAAACAATTGTGTGTCCTCCCAGTACCCGCCATCCCAAGCGAAGTGTCTGCCTCACAAACAGGAATACATAGTCCATTAGGCTGGAAAAACAGCAGCTGTGTACACACTCATAATATTACTTCAGATTCCCATTGCCGGTTCACTGTAGGGGTGATCTGAAACTGATAAAGGGTTTACATAAAATACCATGCAGTACAATACAACACAATATAAGTCTCTTAGCTCGTTGTATCCGCTGACTCCAGCCACCCTCCCCAGACCCTGGAGAATTTCTGAGGGCATCCCCTCCTCTGATATGTTGCCTTATAGAGGGTTGAATATGTGTTGACTAGACCCTTCCAGTCAGAGACACTCGGGGGCGCACTCCATCGCAGTATGATCACCTTCCTAGCACAAAATAACAGGATTCCTATAAACGTCTGAATCGCAACAGTAGGGGCAAGGGGTTCAGTCAGTCCCAAAACACATGTCCGTATACTAGGCACGAACCTGACCTCAGAATATTCGGACACAATATTCGCCACTGCCTCCCAAAATGGTCTGACCCGGGGGCAGGCCCACAAAATGTGAACAAGATCCGCCAACGGGTCAGAGCATCTCCAGCATTCAAAACCGCTTCCCCCATATATGCGGCCCAGTCTCGCTGGTGTATAATAAATCCGGTGTAGTATTTTAAATTGGATGAGCTTGTCTCTGGCAGAAATCAGGTGACCAAATGGATAGTCCCAAACGTCCTCCTCCGCTAACTCAGGGACATCCACCAACCATGGGGTTTTACACTTAAGTGCGTGTACCGATGGAGATTGTAACATAAGCCTATATACTTCAGAAAGAGGTTTGTGGAGTGGATCTTTTCTAAGCATACTTTCAAGTCTAGATTGTTGTACTATACAGGGCGAGCCCCCAAACTGGTCCCGGAATGCATGTCGCACCTGCAGGTAGCGGAACAGGTAAGTGCTGGGGACCTTCAACCTTCAATTGCTCAAATGTCATAATTTCGTTATTTAACGTAATGTCTCCCAGGGTCTTAATACCTTTACTAGGCCATACATGGAAATCAGGGATGTTCAAAAAATGGGGAAGCAGTGGGTTTTTCCATAAGCGGGTATGAGGGGACCAATCCTGGTGGGACGAGTCAAGTTGTTTGCTGGTAGAGGTCGAGGCCATAATTGTGGCTCTCATAGATTCGGTAAGGTGGTAAGACGCCTTCAGGCCCCGAAAGGGCAACCCTCTCAAAGCCTCGTATGACCCCAGAGAGGCTGCCTCCACCACCACCGCAGTGTCTACAGAGTCTCTCTTAAGCCACCTATGCAAAACCCCCATTTGACCTGCCAGATAGTATTTTTTTAAATCTGGAACCGCCAGTCCACAACTAAACCATGGCTCCTGCAAGGTAGTGAATTTGATCCTAGGAACTTTGTAGTTCCATAGGAACGTGCTAATAAGGGAATTGATTTTATGGAAAAAAAATTGCGGGACCCAGACCGGGGAGTTCCGAAGCAGGTATAAGAACAGAGGCAGGATTTTCATTCATCAGATTGACCTTACCCACTAACGATAGGGGAAGGTGTTTCCAGGATTCTAACCTCGCCTTAAGTTTTGCAAGTAAAGGAAGAAGGTTAAGGGGGTAATAGTCCCTCACCGACTTAGTCACTTGGACTCCCAGGTAAGTTATAGTGTCCACCCACAGGAGAGGGACAGTGGCGTCCGCTGCATCTTGGGTCTGTGGATCCAGAGGCAGTATATGGGACTTGGACCAGTTAACCCTCAGTCCGGAGAAGACCGCAAACGTATCTAAAATATTCAGTGCCGCCCGCAATGAGGGACCAGCATCCGCTAGAAATAGGATAAGGTCGTCTGCATATAACGCCAAACGTTCCTCTATACCCCCCATTTTGAGTCCAGAGATTTCCTGTGAGGAGCGGAGGGCAATCGCCAGTGGCTCCATCAACAGTGCAAACAGACCCGGAGACCAGGGGCATCCCTGCCGGGTACCCCTTTCAATGACAAATGCTTCAGATAAGAGTGATCCTATCTTAAGTGTTGCTCTAGGGGCATCATATAGTATACTAATCCACCTGCGGAACTGAGGGCCAAATCCCATCAGTCTAAGCACCTCCCACATGTATCCCCAATCCACAGAGTAAAAGGCCTTGGCCACGTCCAGCGAGACCAAGGCCTTGGAACCCACATTATCATGTGTCAGCTGGAGGTTTGTGAACAGCCTGCGTAGGTTGGTATCTGTAGACTTGCCAGGTATAAATCCCGTTTGGTCAATGTTGACCAAGGACCCAATTACTTTAGAGAGGCGCGTTGCTAGTACAGATGTTCCTCACTTACCGACTTACCTGTTTTGCGACCACTCGCACTTACGACGGACCGCCGATCGACCTCCGACCGTCAGCGTCAGTGCGACGGGTCGCCGGCGGAAGTGACATCCCCCGATCTTCACTGCAGGTCTCGGTAAGTATTTCCATTGCCGGATGTACAGTACACTGTTCGGTACTGTACATCGGCAACGCTATACAGTACTGTACTAATGCAGTATAGTACTGTATAGAGTTCCTCACCCAGGTATAAATCCCTTTTGGTCAATGTTGACCAAGGACCCAATTACTTTAGAGAGGCGCGTTGCTAGTACTTTAGTTAATATCTTGAGATCCATGTTTAATAGGGCAATGGGTCTGTATGAGGAGCAAAGGAGTAGATCCTTGCCAGGTTTAGGCAAAAGAACCAGATGTGCTTCCTTAAAAGAGTCAGGCAAAGCACCCTCCTCCAGGCAAGCTAGGTAAGTGTCCCTGAGCCGGGGGGCGACAGAGTCTACATATTTCTTATACCACTCCGCCGGAAGGCCATCCGGCCCAGGGGAGTTGTCATTAGGGAAGGAAGCTATCGCCAGCTGTATCTCCATTACTGTAGGAGGCTTCTCCAAAAACTCTCTATCCTCCCATTCCAATTGTGGCAGACTGAGCCCACCTAGGAGATCAAGTTTCCACAATATCTTAATTCATTCATAATCTTACTGGGTACAATTAAACTATATTTGTAGCTTATAGGAGTTCTATGTATAAGGCTGTGTCCTATGACTGTGTGTACATGTGTTTTTTCTTCTTCCTAGTTAGAAGTTAGTATTATTTGATTAACGTGTTTAACCTTGCATCATTGCCATCACAAGGGCAGACATTCACTGTATGTGACATTTATGTAACCTCCCTTCAGAGAGCCCATTTCATGATCAAATGAGCGTAAAGAATAAGTGCACATTCTTACTCCCCACCCTTCCCAATCATCCCACCCTCCCTGTATGCATACCTACCTGTATCTTATAAAGTTATATGGTCACTACTAGGGTTGAACTTCATTCCACCCTGCTGGTCCCATCCGGAGTGGTTGCCAAAGGACATTTAAAGAGATGTCTGGGTCCAAACTGCCAACTTCCAAAGAGTTGTGGATGCAACCCCTGCTTTTTATCAGCTAGCTTACATTAATGCAGGAACTTTTTTATTTTATTGATGCCTGTATTATTATATACCGTATTTTGCGTTCCATAAGACGCACCGGATCATAGGACGCAGGGAGGTCCGGTGCGCCTTATGGAGCACTTGACAACCCGTAGCTTCTGTCACAGCTTCTGTGACAGAAGCTGCAGTTAGTGACCGCTGAGACAGGTGGCGCTGTGATTACAGCGCCACGGTCTCAGTGATCACACAGAGCAGACAAAGAACGTCCGTTCTTCGTCTGCTCTATGGTGATCTCGATCACCGCCGCCGCTCGGTTTTAATACGAGTGATCTGATTAGATCACTCGTATTAAACGAGCAGTGGCTCCTACTGTATATTTAGCAGGGCTAAATGTACAAAAAGCTACTCGCCCGGCGCCCGAAACTGCATGTCTCGGGCGTCAAGATTCACTCCATAAGACGCAGGCACATTTTCCCCCTACTTTTGGGGGGGGAAAAGTGCGTCTTATGGAGCGAAAAAAATACGGTAGGTTGAACTCGATGGACATGTGTCTTTTTTCAACCTGACGAACTATGTATAATGTACAGACACTATGTTGGTGGCTGAATATGGCATTTAAGGTACATATTACAATAACTGTCCTTTTATTTTAGACACATTATTTAATAAGACCATCAAAATCACAATGTGGCTAACCAAAATGCAAGCTCTAAGGCTGGGTTCACACCTAGGCGTTTTTCAGCGCTGATCAAAGCGCTGAAAAACGCTCAAGAAGTGAAATCCTATTAATCCCTACGGGCATGGTTCCCACCAGGGCGTATTTTAGCACGATTTGTCTCGCTGAAAAACTCCCTAAGCGCGAAAAAGTACTTGATCTTCTTTTTCGCGCGTAGGGGCAGATTTCAGCGCGTATCCATTGGTATTCCCAAGTGTGGCTCGGGGTTAATTTTCTGTGCCAAAGCGGTGACCCCGAGCCACACTCGGGAATACAGTGTAGGTCTTACCTTGTCCGCGATCCCCGCTGTGTCCTCCGGCATCCGGGTTCCGTCCCTTGCAAGCGTCCGTGTCGCAGGGGGGCGGAACCGGCGGGAAGTTTAAAAGTAAAAAAAAAATGAAAAACTGAAAAAAAGGGGGGGAAAAACGCGTGTCAAACGCGCATTTCATTGGACAGAAACAGAAATCAAAAGATCACGCTGCACTCCTTACCGAAGTATCAAAAAGACCCGTACGGACGGGTGAGTGCTTGTAGTGGCCACGGATGGCACCGTGAAAAGATTAGATAGAAAATAACGTCACCAGCACTCCAAAGGATAATCAAGCAATAGTCCATTTATTGGGACATTGCCATTCAAATGCAAGCGCTTTCGGGGGCCTCAGAGGGTCCCCTTCATCATGCTCAGACTGACACAACAATGAAAGATTATGCACCTTAAATAGACATCCAACTGTGAGGTTAAAACAGACCCCTCCCATTGAAAAAACGTCAGCACAAAGCCCATTCCCGCCATAGGGAATTCAAATGTAGATAGCCTGAGGGTGATTAGAGCTATAGAACGGCGCGCAAATGAGAGCGGGCCGTTCGGCCGGGAACTTGACAGGCACGGGCGGTTGCCCTGACAACAGGGCGCTATGTCGGCTTTTGGCGCCGCCCCCTCATCCACACGTATCTTTCTCGTGTGGAACGCAGGGAAGTTCCGGCTTGCGCTCCAGCCGTCGTAAGCGTATGAGGGCCAGCTGATTTAGCGCATGCGCATATCTCCGTCGGCTGCAGTTCTGTTCACTGGCCATACCCGATTGGAAGCACGTTTGTGATGTTTTAAACATATACAGAATCACTATATATGAGCGAATTAGAGAAGTGGAGAGCTGATATGAACCTGGCACCTATGGCATGGTGGACTTAGTGCGTTTAAAGCACAGAAAAACGTGCTTCAAACGCAAGGGCAAAAACGCGCATAAAACGCGCCTATTAGGAACGTCCAGGTGTGAACCCAGCCTTAAACATATAAAAATGTTATTTCGTTTTATTATTTGGACGATAACCGGACCCTCCAGGAGCTTTTGTTTATTTTAATAATATTGAATAATTTTTTATAATTTGTTTTCTGTTCTGTTTTGTAGCTGAAGCTTTAGGAAAAACTGAGCTTGTGCCTGTACCTTATCAAAAGTTTGAGGCTAATCCCACAGATATGTATGTGGAGGGATTGCCAGAAAACATACCTTTCAGAAGTCCCTCCTGGTATGGGATTCCAAGACTGGAGAAGATCATTCAAGCTGCTAACCGGATAAAATGTATTATTAAAAGGTTTGTGGCTAATTTCCTGTTTTGTGGACTTCATTTTGCATCGCTATGTGTAACACTTTGTTGACTAATAAAAATCAGCTACCTCATTTGGTATACAGATGCATACTTTAGTTTTACCATATGGAATTCTCTGTATGTAAGGAGGAGTACAAACAGTTGTTTAGGAGCCAGTATGTTTTTGTGATCACAAATGTTCATTTAAACATGAAGTAAGGCATAAGGTGGTAATGTTTGTATTCCAAAAAGGTTGGGAGATTAGAGAAGAAAGTAGTACTAGCAGGTTTTTTTGTTTTGTTTCTGTATTTTACATTCCTTTTTATTGATATTATATAACAAAGTTACCACCTTTTTTTAATTTTTACTTTTTAAATATAAATACAATATTTGATGATATGGTGGATCATAATGCGATTAAAATGCATTACATGTACTATTTTTTTCAAACACACTACACAGTATTTTGCGGTGCAGCGCTGTCGAGTGCATTGTGGCTGGTAGGTGCTTTTTGGGGTGGCATTCAAAAGATCCAAACTCTCCACTTGTGGTCCAGGAGTCGCCCAACCATTCTCTTATACATGCTCAGGGCTATTTGGTTGTATCTCCATTACTGGACCCCCATAGTTACAGAGCTACCTGACCAGAATCCAGTTAGACTATGCCACAGCTGTGACTTGCATCAACCATTAGTGAGACACTTGGAGTCGTGCAGCTCAAAGAGAAGCGGACCGGATCCGGGCTTGGGCAGCTCTATCCGCTTTTTTTTTTTCTAGGGAGAAAAATAACCAGGTCTTTTAAGCTCTATCCACTTTGCACATTCCAGGCATGGAAAATTGTCAGGCAGACTTCTTAAATCCTCAATGTTTAGATTCCAGAAAATGTTCCCTTTACCTGGAGGTGTTTCAGGCCCTTTGTCTCAAGTGGGGGTGCTGGACGGGGACCTCCTGCTGTCCAGGTTCAACAAACAAGCTAGACAGGTTTGGCACCAGGAATCACCTGGCCGGTGGATGCCCTGGTAACTCCCTTGGACTGCCTTGGAGACAGAGGGCATTCTGGTGATCTTCATTGCTTCCAACTGCCCCAGGAAATCGTGGTATACGGACATAGTGAAACTCCTGCCAGACACTTCATGGGCACTTTTGGATCATCCAGACCTCTTGTCCCAAGGACTAGTATTGCACCCTAATTCTTGGTCGCCGGCTTTAACAGCTGGTTTTTGTTTCTACACTTGAAGGCTAGGAAGATGACCTCCAACGTGATCTACCATTGCATGTGGAACCCTTATTTCACTTGGTGTGAAACAACGAAGTTTTATTCCAGGAAGTACTCCTTGGATTGTATCCCATCTGTCCTTCAATCTGGCCTAGATGAGCATTTAGCCTTGAGTATGATCAAGGAACAAATGTCTGCCTTGGTAATTCTTTTTCATTGTTCTTTATAGTTACCCCAGTATGCACTCTGGTGACTCAGATGGCCCTTAACTTAATTATGTCAGCGTCAGCACTGCAGAAACCGCCCCTTTGTACCTCTCAGAGATATCCCTCCGACGGTGTTTGACGGCCTTGACTTGTAAAGAGCAATTTTGGCTATCCACAAGGATAAGTTAGTACTAAGATCAGAGGCCTCCTTTCTTCCTTAAAGATGGTATTTACCTTCCACTTGAAGCAGGATATTGCTTTACCATCCTTAGGTCCTGCTCCAAAGCATTCTAAAGACATTTCTTTCAATTGTCTGAACTGATTTAAGCTTTTCGAGCTTACCTCTCTGCTACAGCCACAAGACTCGCTTCCTGTGGGTCCCTGTATGGGGCAGCAAGCTTCTCATTTCACTATCTCTAGGTGGATTATGCGAACTATCACTCAGGAATATGAGTTGAAGAGTAAACTTCCCCCCTTTCAGGTTAAGGCTCACTTTACTAGGCGTGTTAGTACTTCTTGGGCCTTCCAGCATTAGTTTCCCTAACCTGCAAGGCTGGTACCTGGTCTCTTTTCATACCGTTGCCAAGTTTTACCAGGTGGATGTTCGGGCCTCTGCAGATGCTAGCTTGAGCTTCAACATCTTTCAGACAGCCCTTTGATCTGTGGTTCCCTTCTGTTTTGGCTCCCTTTTGGGGTTCATTGTAGCTTTTCGCGGGTCTACTAGCTATTGTTTGCTGAGTTGCCCACTCCTCTGCTGCCGTAATATAAAAATCCTGTTTTATCCTTCCCCAATCTTTTACCTTGACTTCTCAGACAGCTTAAATTATAAATGTCGCTTTCATTAACTGGTTTCAGAGAAGCCATATCACCCCTTGAACACAGATGTAGATATCCTTCTGGCAGAAAGATATATTCATTCAGTGACTTGGCAATGTTTTTTCAGCCTAGTTGTGATTTGCATTGGATTTTAGTTTTGTTCTGTAAGTCTTCTAAGTCCTCTCTTCAACAACCTTGTGATGCTTCACCTTCTCTCTGATAGATGTTAATTCCTTCTAAAGCATCTCAGAATTATTAGCTCTTTCTTTCAAAGTCTACAGGAGTACCAGAACAACGCAGCGTTTTAGATGTGTTGCCCATCACTGTGGCTACAACAAACATTGATAACCATTTAGAAAAAATGAAAATATGACTGATTGCATATTTTATAAATGTCATATCTTATGTTATATACCACCATGTGGTTAAACAGAACTATAAGCAGAGAGGTAAGGCAGCAGTTTAAAAAGACTGCCTGTCTTACAAAGGTAAAGCGATCCATGTGTGCACATCCGTATATGCATTGTTATATGTAAATGGACTACTTCTGATTACATTGTTGTTCCAAGGAATCCACTGCAGACTTCATTACTACATTTGGATAGGTGCAATAAAAATGAAACATTTTGTTAAGAATGCTATACTGTTGAACCTGTTTTACTTTGTGTTGCTATTTCCTCTTCCCTATGGTAATTCTCACTGTTTCTTTATACAGACCAGAGCTGCTTACACAGTCAAATACAGAACCCAACCGAGGAAATGCAGGAGGTACATGTGACTGTTGGTACGGTTGATATTTACTGTATAAGTATGTATCTTTGCAGTGGTGTGAGAGGTCAGAGTGCTCATTTTCTATCCTGCTTGTCTCAATAATTTATTACGAATAGTTGTATATATATTGATTAAATGCTATGGACACACTTTTTGTCTTGCTTTCCTAGCTAAAGAAGACTGGAATATAAGAATTACAAAACTAAGGAAACAAGTTGAGGAGATATTTAACACAAAGTTTGGTAAGTCATGCGTTCTAATGTTTTGACTAGTGTCACTAAGCCATCATTGACTAAACGGTTCTGGCAGCAAAGTGGTTAAGGGCACTTGTATTTATTGGCAGCACTGAACCTTATGTCTGCCCAAGTGCCTTTTAGATGGTATTGTCTTTGTGGGCAGCTTAGATGACCTTCACTAAAAAGGGTCAGTTTTTCTGGACTCTGATAGCCTGAATTCTCTTGAAGGGCCTAACTCCTGCAAGTGTCTGTTGGTTTGAACCTTAGTCTCTTATTGTTTACATGATGGTTCCTCCGCCGCTAACACTCACCCCCAAATGGAGAGGAATCCTGTCTCAGAGCTGTCCTCATGTCTGGAAAACTAGCAGTTTGTTGCTTGCTTCTTCTGGGGATCCCCTGATGAGTAGGTCTCTTGGCCTGAACTCAGTTGGACATCACTTTGGTTCTGTGTTTGTGCTATAAGGCCTTCAACTACGGGAAGGTTTGGGTACTGCACTGTGCGATTTTTCTTTCTACATAGCTTTGTCTAAGACCTTTTAGATATGCTAAATTTGTTTAAGATGCTGTAATTTTATTTTTTATTAAGAATTCTCTTGATTTCTTTTTTTTAAGTCACTGTTGTTTTTCAGCACAGGCACTAGGACTTTCAGAACCTGTAAAAGTCCCTTATCCGGTGTTTGAGTCCAATCCAGAGTTTCTCTACGTAGAAGGATTGCCAGAGGGAATTCCATTCCGGAGTCCCACTTGGTTTGGGATTCCTCGACTAGAGAGGATTGTAAGAGGAAGTGCCAAAATCAAGTTCATTGTGAAAAAGTATGTAAAAAGATCATGTCTGCATTTTCTATACAATCCTATGTTTGACATTGACAAATAACAACAGAGCTCTGCATTTGTTTACATTCTTCTGAATGACAGGCCTGTACCATTATTTTCCACATATGCTGATAGACTGCATGAGGTCAGGCAGTTTACAGGCAGCAACTTTCAGACTTCAGGTGACCTCTGACTGCCACATTCCAGAGTCAGCCTGAAAGTAAGTTAAAGTTGTACCCCAGACACTACTTTTTTCCTAGTTTTGGGTGTTTTAGAAAAAGGTTTTTAGAACTTCTGTCAGGTTTCTGTTGCTGTCTGTGCCCCAGCTGGAGAGATTAATTCTAAATTGATAGCACTGTGGATAAATCTCCTTTCACTTCTTGTGTGATGTGTAAGCTCCTCAATGAGGCACATATGGCAGTATAAATCAGACAGAGGTTCTAAATATTCCTCAAATAATCCATTACCAGAAAAACATTTTGGCAGGATTTCCATGTTATCTAAATAATGGGACACATATCATTTTCCAAAGTAACTCCAGTTAACAGTCCTTTTAAAAGTATTTTCCTTGATATTCTATGCTTCCTTCAATCACTCGAAGCTGTCTTTTGTTCAGCACTCCGGGTTTCATTTAGCTGAATAATAGGTAGCCGCATTTTGGAAAATAACTTCATTTTAATGAACAAAAAACCCTTTTAGGTCTGGTTTCCACGGGCTTTCCGGTTTTTAAAGCATCGGTGCCTGCGGAGAAATAGGAAGCAGCAGCTTGAACATTTCATAAAGTACTTGGGCCCCTGCACTGCCTGTATATGTACTTAGCTGTTCGGCTAAAAACTGACTATCTGGCCCACCATTTAGGGTGCATATGGTAGGGCTCAGAAACACTTGCCAAGGACTCCATTGCAAGCCCGTTGTAGCTGGGACTTCCATCACAAAACAAAATGTGTATACTAATGTCTCTTTCCTCTCTTCAGACCTCCGCTTGTAGCACCCCATATTCCTGCTGAACTCGCTGATAAAATTAATGTTGAAGGTAAGAAAATATTTTAGGTGTCGTTCTTTACAAATATTTGGTGTTTGCCCCTGTTGATCCAGATTTGCTGCATTTTTAATTGCATATTTTGCCCAATGAGGTAAAGTGACAGTTTACCTGTAATCTCCCCAAGCCAAGCAGCACGTACTCTCATTTCCTTTGTAAAAATCAGTAATTGTGCAAGTTATGTCCAGTTTTTGAGCATGGACTTTTTGGCAACCATTTATCTTTTATACAAAGAAATGTATTGACCTAATCTAAAATAGTTTGCTTTCGTATTCCTTTCTTAAATGCTGTAAACATTTTTGCTCATATTAGTCCAATATTGAGTAGATATGGGGCAAAGCTGAGCCTTCTGTAACAAAAGTATATGTACTGCCTGTAGGACACAGCCATATTCCAGAAAAATAATTAAACCTTATGCTGCAAGTGATACAGACCTACCAATAGTTTTTATAATTGGGCTCAGGTATACATAAGTAATAAATGTAGTAATAAATGGTGCTGGTGCATATATACCTATTTTTTAATACTAGAATAAACATGTCTTAATGACTTGTGACTTATCTAAGGAATTCTACCTGAACTGATTAATGTTTGTGCCCCCCTGTTGGGAGTGAGTAAGAAGTACATCATGCTGATTACTGTCCATAATGTTATGTTAAAATGGAGCAGAGTGTGATTCTAACTTTGCCTGCTGTAACTTGAAAATCACTTTTTTTCTAGCTGTTCAGAACTTAGCCAAAGAACAGGATCCAAGGGAGGGTACAGATGATGGTAAGAGAAATTACATGGATGATTCATACTTAGACTATTCCATCTAAAACATATGGTATGTTTGCTCTCTAGCAAGACTATAACATTTACACCGATAAGTGATAACATTATGACCACCTGCCTAATATTGAATAGGTCTAACTTTTTGCTGCCAAAACAGCCCTGGCCTGTTGAAGCATTGACTCACTAGACCTCTGAAAGTATTCTGTGACATCTGGCACCAAGCTGTCAGTAGCAGATCTTCTAAGGCCTGTATGTTATGAGGTGGTTCGAATTTGTTTTTCCAGCACATCCCACAGTTGCTCGATTGGATTGAGATCTGAAGAATTTGGACGCCAAGTCAACACTTCAAACTTGCTGTTTTGTTCCTCACTCCATTTTTGAACCATTTTTGCAGTGAGGCAGGGTGCTTTGTCCTGCTGAATGAGGCCACTGCCATCAGGCAATACCGTTTTCATGAAGGGGTGTACTTGGCTAGCAACAATGTTTAGGTACATGGTTCATGTCAAAGTAACATCCACATGAATGGCAGGACCCAGTGTTTCCTAGCAGAACATTGCCCACAGGATCACACTGCCTCCGCCTGCTTTCCTTCTTCCCATAGTGCATCTTGGTGCCATCACTTCCCCAGTGTTATTCATTTCACTTCTCAGTGGTCATAATCCTATGGCTGATCAGTGTACAAGTTAACAAAACTCCAGAAGATTACCCTCCTATTCACACACTCTCTGATATGCCAAGTATACATTAAAGACATGTTCCAAAAACTGAACAACTTATTGGCTGAAACAAATGAAAGGCACAGCTGTAATAGACCATACAGGATTGGGTTAAATTATTCAGGTTTTATTACAAATAAGAAAATAAGGTGGACATATAGAAATACATGTGGCAATCTCAAATCATCATGATTAAAACTTGACAACTGCAAGGGTTAACTGCTTGTCTGTGTCTAGGTGCAAAAAAGAAAAAAGTTATACTACCTGATTGTTCGAACCGGCTTGTTCTTAGACCTGTCCCAGTTAACCATTGCAGTTTGGGGGTAGCCTCACTGCAAGGGTTAATCAAATTTTTACGTGGAGTTCTTTTTTAAATTCGTTACTGGTAGGGATCCCCACTCATTTCTCAGCTCTGGACTGGGGTGTAAAGCACTAAATGTTGTACTCTTGCGTAGCCCAGATTAGGGGCCTTGCTTGGAATTTTGCTAATTTGCACCGGTCCTCATTTACACCTGTGTTTGGGGTAGTCTCGGACGTAATTTGACATGCTGCGATTAGCTGCAGATGATTGCCCCTGGACACAAACTCTTTAAGAAGGACTGTGGTCGCTGTCATTGTTTTGTATAGGGATTCTCCAGGACACCGACTTTGCAAATGGCTGCTGGCACTTTCAGCTGTCATTGCCTTGTATAGGACTTCTCGCCCACAGCTGTTCGCATGAGTCTCAGAGTAATTTGTGAGGCTACACCAAATGCGAGTTTGAATGGGGCCTAAAAATGCACTTGAGCTTTAATCACTCAAATGCAGCTGTTTTTAATGCAGTTAATAGTTTTCCTATACTGTAGTTAGTAGTAACAGAGCTGTTTTGTACTCCTCTACTACTGAATGCATTGGAAAACTAAAAAACTGCTTTGTAAACTGCACAGTGTGTAACATGCAACATTTCTAAAAAAAGTTGTATATCTGTCATAAATAAGCAGATGTCCACAATATGCAAAGTATCATTGTACTTGCTACATGCAGTACTTTTTCACCTGTGATCCAAACATTTGACTCTGGAGCTGTTGACTCTACAGACTTTGCCTTATATTTGTATGCTTTGGTCAAGTTTCTAGTTTTTCCAAGATTTGCGAGCCTTAAATTGAAGCTGTAGTGGACAGGCCAAGAGACCCGGAATCGTCTAAAGATGCATTTTCAGGTAGAGAGATGACAGCTAGTTGCATTCTACACAACATGAATGTACAGTAGGTGGTATATGTCAAGGAAATAAGTCATCAGAATAGACTTTAAAAGAGGTTTCTCTTTCATTCATTGGAGAACACAGCTGTACTTTCAATCATTAACTGTGTGCCATGTGCTCCGTTGAATGGAGAAAAAATGATTTTACGATGATTGCAAAACCTTATTTTTTTTTCTTTATTTCATTGGAGGACACAGCACAGTGGCAGTGATTTAAAGCAGAACGGTGTGCTCCAGTGAAGGCAAGAAATATGACTTTGTATAGCAGAACGACTCTTCTACAAAAATACACACAAACATGGGTACTAAAAAGTACCACCGCACTGCCTGAGAATTTTAATTTTCTTTTCTTGATCCTGTCACCTAATTTGCCAATTGTCATTTACTAATTTAATTTAACACTGTAGTATTTTCCTACTCTTTCACAGATAAATCAAACACTGTTTCAAGTCCTCCACCACAAACGAATGGTTCCACAACTGTGACCTGTAAACAACGAGGAAAAGAATTCTCATTTGGTAAGCAGGGAAACTAAAAAAAAAATAACTCTGTTGAAAGACGCATACATTTTAAGACATTTTGCAGTGATAAAAACACAGCTGTAGTGCTTTGTGGAATTTTTGTTTTGAAGGAAACGCATACACACAAAAAGGAAAAATGTTCTAAAAAAGGAGTTGTACCTTCTTGTATCTGCTTAAATGAAAATAAAAAGTGAAGACATTATATGATTGAGTCGGCTTCTATAAAGCACGCTATGATTCTTGATCCATTTTTTTTTTCATTGGGTTTTTTTTTTTTCTTTTTAAGATTATATTTATTCCAAGTCAAGAGTAAAAACATTATATAAACAACAGGGAATTTGGTACAAATGACAGATAATACAAGACAAGGGTCCAATCCTCATCCCCTTAAGAAAAACCAGCCCACATCAATCAGCAAAACAAAATGTAAAATGTACCATCAGTTATTGAGTGGATCGCAGTGGAGCGGTGTCATACATGAGACGCATATGTGGGAGAACGGCATAAAGCTCACTGCTGTGCTGCCACATATATGCGTATGGCTGGTGACAACATGTAACGGGTATGTAAAGTAAAAAACACATACAATACATATACTTTAAGTCACTAACCTTTTGAGTTTCACCGTTTCGCAAAAAGGCACAATCTAAAATTTACAAATATTTATTGACATCAATAGAGTTTAATCTTTTAGATATTGTAAGAATTTTAAAAGATATTTTAAATCTATCAGTCCTGTACTTTCAGAAAATAATAAGACACAACTTGGAAAGCTCAGCCCACGTTACAGAAAAATATCTTAGGAAACACTGAGCAGGACTTAAAAAAACAGCTGAAGGCAGCCATAGTTTAATCCTTTCAGTCCTACGCTCCATTTTGCACCTCACGTGGGCCAAGGCATTTGTGCAATTCTTCACTTGATCGTTTTTCACTTACAGCTTTCAGAGTTTCTAAAAGATTCACCTCCAATCATATTGTTTATACTGACAGAGCAGAGTCTAATTTTGCTTGAAATTCACTCAAATATGACTATCTTATTGTCAGTTCACCCACCACTAACCCTAGTTTGTAACTGTCAGCCTGTATCAGTCTGTGTTCATCACAACTTGTGTTTGTCAGCCTAAAGAAAGTGTATGATAAGGGATATGTTACCCCTTTTACTAAATTAAGCATATTGGACATTTATGAATACATAAGACCTGCAACCTGGTCACTAATCAACATTTTGTTATAATCCGCAACAAATAGTTATCTGATGATGAATATTTCATACTTGGATACCACCTAAAGTAAACACTAAAATGTTTTTGTATGTAGGCTGTTCTCAGTATTTATATACATACTGTGGATAATTTTTTAATTTTTTTCTCAAAAACAGAGGCATGGAATGCTAAAATCACTGACTTAAAGCAAAAAGTTGAGACACTGTTTGATAAAAAATGTGGTGAGTATTAGTAAATATTTATTTATGTGGTTCTACAGTAACAAAAATGAAGTTACTATTTCTGATCTATTTCTGATGGATCTTGGTATGATAAAAGTGTACCTGTGCCCAGACTATGGATATTAAAGTATTTATTGTTAATAAACAAACAAAAAGCTTTAAAACAAGTCCTCTCTAGCTGCATGCATGGTAAAGTAATTAATTCTCAAATGTCATCAACTCATAAAGCTGAACTCCAGGCTGATATTAATGCAGTTCTGTATTCATGATGTGCAGGGACCTGAATGTAGTGTGCACATTAGACACTACCGATAAAGTTAAATAGTGACAGCTCTGCTAGCATGTGATACAGCATGCGCTGCCGGAGCTGGCACAACACACTAGTGTGTCCACCTGCTGTGTTTTGATTTTAGCTGGCAGGCTGCCAAGATTTTGCTTCCATAGAAAGTAAAGAGGAAAGGAGCTGTTATTTCGTGTCTCTGTTGTGAACTTTGAAGATGAATTTCTCCAAATCCCTAGAGCTACAGAGGTGAATGAGGACTTGTTTGAAAGTGATTTTACTGTTATTTAAAGTGTGTTAACCTTAACAAACAGCCAAGCAGAGTGATCGGCAGAGTGTGTGGATCAGTTGCCTTTTGGCCAGCTTTTACTTTGCATGTACTGTGTTTTCAAAAGCTTGGTTCATGTCCACTAGCAGTATACAGTACAATGTCTCTAACATTAAAAGGAAGACCAGGCAGAGCTCCTAGCAGTCAACACCCCTGTTTACAGTTCAAGGCACACTGTTAGTTGTAGGACCTTTTTAAAAACCAGTCGACTGAGGTGGAATTCTGTAGGCAAAATTCATTACGTTACCTTGTTTTTGTCATGTTACTTTATTATCAAAACTCTAAATAACTGGATACTATCTTGTGAATATAATGTATCCTTTAGGAGAAGCCTTGGGAATGAAAGATCCATTCAAAGTCCCATTTGCCTTGTTTGAGTCCTATCCCGAAGACTTCTATGTGGAAGGTCTTCCTGAGGGGGTCCCATTTCGCAGACCATCCACTTTTGGCATTCCTAGACTGGAGAAGATTCTCAGAAATCAATCCAAGATTAAATTTATCATCAAGAAGTAAGACAAGTGTATTACTATGGTCTTGACTCAATGTGGTGCAGAGCAAAGTGTAGTAACCAACAGTAACCATTATAAAAACAATAGATTGCTGCAGAAAGTAAATTTATTGGTCGTACATCATGGGATACAGGCTTGATTAATCAAGAACATTGCGTTATACTGCCACCTTCAAGAGAGGGGACACTGGCCAGCAAAGCTGAAATGGAAAGCCCAGTATAACCTCTCCCACTCCCAGCATGCCTCAGTTTCTGCTAGTGTCCATAGTAGAGGGACATCTCTGTGCTCTAAGAGAAGCTTATCCCCTTTTTATCTTTTATCAAGAAACTGTTTTCTTTCAGGAAGATTTCTCCAGTGCTGCACAGCTACTGCAGCTCATGTTTGCAGCTTCCAGATTTGCTTGCAATGGAGGGACCACAGGGGCTACAAAAGTGTCCCCTAAGTCGATCTCAACTTCCTATTGTTGCAGCTGCAGCCGCAGCAGCACATTTGGATGTTTGGGATGACTCTTGTTCTAGGTCTGAGAGTTCGCCCCATGAGGAGAGTCATTCTGCTGACATATCTTCAAAACTAAAGCACACCATTTCGGCCCTAATTGCAGTGCGCATGTGCTTAGACTACATTTTACAGGTAAAATAAAAACCTATTTGTCTTTTGTTTTCAATTAAACAACACAGGACTTTAGAAATACTTAGGCAATTGGGTTTTCCTGCCGCCTGCAAGAGGTTGGATCACGCCAGCCCCTGTATAGCTCTACATCTAACCATCATGCCTCAGTTTTATAGCATCCTAGAAAGTTGGATGCCTTTTCTTCAGCTGAAGTCAAGGGTTGGGTATACTGGGTCTAGGCTTTTACCCTAGTAAAAAGTACTTCTTGTTGTCCGTCTACCTGTTGTTCCAAATTTTGTTTTCCTCCTGTTAAGGCAGTTTGTTATTTCACCTATTTTACTTATGCTGAATGACTTAATGTCCTTCACATTGTTAATTGGAGCACATTGTTCTAAAGGTAGCAGTCTTTTCTTTGTGGTCATTACCTGTGCTGGTCTGGAGCACTAGGTTGATTCTCGGTGCCCTGCTCCTGGATAGTGGTAGTCAGATATTTGGTTGGCCCGGCCCTGGGTCTTTTAACCTTCGTTCAGGTTTTACTCTTTGTAATACCATCTTCACATCTGTTGCGTCTCTCATTGGCTATTGCCCGCCTCTCCGTTGGACTGCTTCTAGTTGTCTAAGTATTTCTAAACTCCTATGTTAATAAAGAAAATATAGACTTTTTTTTTTGTACTTACCATAAAATCTTTTTCTTGAAGTCCTTTGAGGGACATAGGTCCCCATCCCTTGTGTTACTGGCCTTATGCACTGCTTGCTTGCATGTTCAAACCTCCTGTAGGCAGCAATATAACCCAATTGTCTAAAATGTACTAAAGTCCTGTGACCCCTCCTCTCCCAATGGACTTCAGGATAAATATTTTACTGTACGTACAACAGTTTTATTGTTTCCTGTATTTTGTAAGCTTTTTTTTTGCTTTAAATGTGTAGTAAAATGTATATTTTTTTCTTATTTATACAATGTTTGTATTATTTTTTTGGTGTTTATTATTTTTGCTAGACCAGAACTGTTTGAGGCTGCAGCCAAAGATTCATCATTACAATATCCACAAAGTAAGTACCCTTTTAATTTTGCAATGAATCCCTTCTAAGATTAGCACAAACTGTGCTGATGCACAGGTAGGATTTAATATCCTCACCTGCCCTGGAAAAGGGTGCATCTAGAACCTGGTGGCTTACTGTTTATAATATCCACCCTTCCTCTGCTCTAAAATAAAAAGGTATTAGTCCACTCACACTGTAAAATTAGAATCACCCTTTTGTACAAAAGTTAAAGTGACATTAAACCCTCAGATTTTTTAACATAAACCAATACTGTAATGTGTGCCTTACTGTAATCCATGGTTGTTTCCCTTCTCTTTGCTGCTCTTCCTTTTAAATCCTCATGTCTTCTCATGCTTGGGGACAACTTCCCTTTTCAGCTCAGGGCCTCTTCCTGTAGTGCTGGCTCAGGTTACAGGTCTATAGAAACGTATACACAGACACTGTGTATCCATTCATGAGACAAGGCAGTCTGCTGCAAAACAGAAGTTCTGCAGAGCATGAGAACAGATACAGATTTAAAAAGGAAGAGCAGCAAAGAGAAGGGAAACAACCATGGATTACAGTAAGGCGCACATTACAGTATTGTTTTATGTTAAAAAATCTGAGGGTTTAATGTCACTTTAACTTATGTCAGTTTTTATTTCAATTTACAAAAGGGATGATTTTACTAAATTGTATGTATTTTCTTCTTAAATTTAAGAGCGGATACAAGTCCAAAATACTCCAGCAACAGCATCTGGACGTGAACATCTTAATATCGTTCAGGTATCCTTACCAGGTATGTAGCAAAGTTCCTCAGTTTAGCAAAAATATTTGACTGAAAATGCAGGACAATTTCTAGACAAGGTTATTAAAATGACTCTGTCAGTGTAAAAGAAAATCCCAAAGGAAGGTCCCAGCAATAGAAGATAATTTATATTCCCTTCTCCGGTCACCCATGTCTCCCACCTTCCCTCCTACGTTGCAGTCTCTTTGTCGTTCTACACTTCCAGGGCTGTCAGATGCCCGTGTCCCTTACTGTGGTTCCTTTCTATGACCACTATGTCACTACAGGACACAGGGATCAGAGTATGGGACCATGGTGTGCAGCAGGGGACATAGCTATCTGATTTTACCCGAAGTATTGAATGTTAAAGAGACTGACGGAGGCTGCAGTTCTGGAAGAAAGGGAAGGTGAGAGACACAGGCCTCCGTGCATAATAGCTTCATTCCTTTAGGATTTTTTTTTGTACCCTGACAGAGTTGCTTTAGTAGTAGTCCATACTTTACACAGAGTAGTTTTTCCACCTTCAGAATATGTGACATTTGACCTTTCTCTCAATAAATTCACTGTATAGGCACAGTGGTATCTCTTTGCAAATCTAAATGGATGTTGATTCAAGTTTTGCCAGTAACATAGATTTACGTATTCACAATTACTGTACCTGTACAGCTAATGGTAAAGATAAAAGCATTCCTAAGATTATTAAGAGAATTAAAAAAAGTAATTAAAATGTAAAACTTTTTCACTATCTGTGAAAGTGTGTTAGTCATTTTTTATATTACATTCCAGTCATCCACGGAACACCATCTGATATATCTCCTGATATTTTAAATTAGGCGCATTATGAAAGTGTTTGTACAACAGGGTGAAAAGCTGTTGAGATGACTGACAAAATATTTGGTCTCTTCTGTAGACAGGTGAAAGTGTGACATCTTTGAGGAACAAAATTGGAATAGGGATAGTAATGAGTGTGTCACTTCACCTCAACTGAGATTTACAGGAGATTGGACCACTCTGTGGGGTTATTTGTTATGGATCCCCCAATTTCTACTGCTCCACTCTTGAAACTGTTAAAGGGGTCCTATGCACCACTTACCTGTTTACTAGGTATCACCATTTTTGTAAAAACCCATGCTTCCTAGTCTTCTCTCGCTGACCTCTGCTGACCCGGTTTTTATTTCATTACGGGGTGCAGGGAAATCGGTATTCCCTGCCAGCTGTGATGTCAGAGGGCTAATTAGGATAAACCAATAAAGTACTGAAACAGGAATGCTAAAACGTATTGTACTATATTCTTATGCTATTATGTCTTATTATGCTATATCAATGTTGTATCTTTATCTTCATATTGTATTTTAAAACAATCTAATACGGCAACAGAGAATATTAAGGTGAAATTATAAGTAGTAACTTTCCCAAGCCGTACCATTGTTCAGCATGGTGGCTCACAGATTAGTACTTTTGCCTTGCGGTATTGTTGACTTGGATTTGATTCCCACCACTCTATACATCAAGTGTGTATGTTCTCTCAGTGGTTGTGTGGGTTCTCCTACCTCAAGCCAAATACATACAGTAGGTTAACTAGCTTTGACAAAAATTGACTCTACTTGTGTGATGATGATGATGATGATAGGATCATTAGACTGTATGCTACTTCAGGGAAGAGACAGAGTAAAGAGTTCAGTATTCTCCATACATTGCTGTGGAAAAATGTCAGTGCTATGCAAATTTTCAAACTGCAATATTTTTTTTTTTTTATCCCAAATAAAGTTTGTGTTACAGATGGGGATGAGAAAACTGGAAAAGTAGACAAAGCTCGCCAGTTGAGGGAACAAGTCAATGAATTGTTCAGTCGGAAATTTGGTATGTGCTGTGTGCAGCAAAGGAACTCTTCTGTACTGTCAGAAAAGATGCAAAATGATGATGATCTTTCTCTTTAATCTTACTTGTAAAAATGTGATCAGGGTTATTAGGAAATGATCAAGCCATCAGAAGATCAACTGTATTGCATAACTCACATACACTGTTTAGCACGTCTATATTGTAAGGAAGTGCATTAGAAGTCAAAACAGTTTAATTCAGCCAACTGATTTGTCCTCCGGCATTGCTGGCTTAAGGTTTCCCCCTTTATTGTAACACAATCTCCATTGTAGATTTTGGGTAACTTTACAGATATACAAATTGAGGCATTTTGGTTGTTTAAGATGAGATTGACATAGACGTAGAAACAAAGGGGTGAAGGTATTCATAAGGCTTCCTAATTCCTGAATCTCACTTCTTGTCCACCCACTAATTGTCCAACGCATAGCTAAAATGAATGTTCAATTTGGCTGTAAAGAGAATTAGGGGGAGAGAAAAATACACTCATCCCCATACTTAGAGCCAAGGTGTGACACTGAAGCTGTCGCACGTCGGCTCTATTAATCAAGAATTGAGCGTTCACATACCGCTGATCGTTCAGTTCCCGATCTTCTCCCTGCAGAGAGCAGTGACTGTCAGTCACCGCTCCCCAAAGGGATTCCCCCCTCCCCTCTCTCCTATTCCTTCAGCACTGATGGGAGGGATGGAGGGAGAGGGCACAACTGGCTCTGGCTCTTGAGAGGCAGAGCCAGCTGTCAATCAGGCAATGGAGTGGATCCTAACAATAGCCCGCTATATGCTGAGTTTTGGAGGGCATTCGTATATGTCCTCCCGTGACCCTAAAGAGAACTATGGCAAAAAAAGGTTGGGCCATAGTTCTCTTTTTTAATTATGTCTTAATGTAAGAAAAACTTAAAAAATTTGAAGTAAAACACATGTTAACTTCCCAGTGGAGGGGATGCACTTTCAGAGACACCGTATTTGCTAAACAAGACTGCTCTGTGGGCAGGCTGTAATGAAGAGAGATTGCATTGGGACAGGTCATTCTTGAGAGAGACTGCCACGTGCAGAGTCTGTCTTGCAGAGAGACTGCTATGTGGAGAATGAAGAAAATAGGTCACCAGCACTCCATAAGTTAAAATGAATGAGTCCTTTTAATGGACAATGATGTCACAGAAATCCAACATGAGCCGACGTTTCGGGGCCACACAGGGTCCCTTCTTCAAGGCAAGAGATGTGACCCTGAAGAAGGGACCCTGTGTGGCCCTGAAATGTCAGCTGAATGCAGGAGGGGGGGCGGGGGGGTTGAGTATATGTAATTTTTTTTTTTTTAACCTAGACACAAACAAGCACCTAACCATTGCAGTGCAGTGGTAGCCCCACTGCAAGGGTTAATAAAGTTTTCCTGGAGATCTTCTTTAAAAAGTCAAGAGACTATCCTGAAGAGTGTCTGCTATGCAAAGAGTGTGTCCTATATCAAGAAAAAAATGGGGAGAAAGAGCACATTCTTGCCTCAAAAGTAGACACAAACAAGCACCTAACCCTTGCAGTGCAGTGGTAGCCCCACTGCAAAGGTTAATAAAACGTTTTCCTGGAGATCTTCTTTAAAAAGTCAAGAGACTATCCTGAAGAGTGTCTGCTATGCAAAGAGTGTGTCCTATATCAAGAAAAAAATGGGGAGAAAGAGCACATTCTTGCCTCAAAAGTAGATGACAACGTGTGTTACTCACAAGGTTACAAGCTGGAGTTTGGCCCCTTGCATCCTTGCCGCTTCCTGTTGTCGAACCTACATTGGAAACCCCTAAAGTTGCCTTAATAGAGTGTTAGTGCTTCTTGGATCTCCCAACATCAGGCTTCTGTTTCCCAAATCTACAAGGCTGCCCTATGGTCCTTTGGTCACACATTTGCCAAGTTTTAAAAGGAAGACGTTCAGGCCTCAGCAGATGCTAGCTTTAGACGCAAGGTTCTTTAGGCTGCCCCTCTGTTGGACTTCCTTTGAATGTCCCATCTGTTGAAGACTTAACTACTGTACCTGTGTCCTGTAGGATCAAGAAACAAGATTTGTCTTTACCTGTTTTTTAGAGATGCCACCAAAACAGCCATAGAGAAGAAATCTTCCAATGGGACACTTGTTCCAATGATAACTGCGTAAATTAGGATTTTCTTCATATTGGAAAGATATCCTATCACTATAACCCACCCTTAAAAAACGTTTTGCCTTAAGATATACTTTAAGAAATTAATATAGCAATGCCATTAATTTATTTTATAATGGCATTGTCGTGGTATGTTATATAGTGGTGGTTTATCCGACTCCTCTCCTCTACAATACAGCCAAACAGCAGCAAATTTTTAGCAATGTTGCCAATCATACCACAGCATGTGTTTCGTGGGGGTTGCTGGAGTCTCTTGAGCTTTTTCTTTTTTTTTTATGCAGTCTCGAGCAGCAAAAAAAATAATAATCTTATTACCAGTAAGGAATAGAACACTTCAGCATCTTCACATATGTTTATGTTGGTTTCAACATTTCTCTTCAGTATTTAATTGTCTGAGAAAGCCTTGATAGAGCCAGCTGGAAGCTCTTCTTTTTTTCTGTCCTCCTGTGTAAGGCTTGACTTACAGGCTGTGTCTGCAGAGAACAAAATAATTTGGTTGTTAGTGATTTCCCAATACTCAACAGTTACCTCATATGTGTAGAATGACCAACTGGGTGTCTCTTATAACCAGCTGAGGATGTCACTTCAAAATTATATGGTGTTCATAAGGTCATGTAATATCCTTTATTGCTCACCCAGTATTTCTCCTTTCTATTACTAAATTTCCTTTAGAAGGATATTACACAAATTCTTTTGGACGCTGTATGAACTGAACTGCATATACAGTATATGGTAGTACATTTCTTGCAATGTCTAACAGCCTGGTGGGATGTACGGTTGTACCTCAGGGCACAGTATTGCTGCATTTGTTCTCTTACATCAGTCTTTCTTCTAGCTTGGGGGAGAGGAGACACATTTATATTACATATTTTGCTAGGCAGAGCTTCCCTGGTTTTTGATGCACCACTGTGTTAGTTTTTTGTGGTACAGTTTAACAGCTAATGCTTTAAGCTTTTTTGGCTATAGTTCTCTTTAGGGTCACAGGAGGACATTTACTATGTCCTCCTGTGACCCAAAACTTAGCATATAGCGGACTATTGCCCGCTATATGCTGACAGCACTGCACCCAGAAAAGATTGTCGGGATCCACTCCACCACCTGATTAACAGCTGGCTCTGCCTCTCTAGAGGTACAGCAATATGTGCCTGCCCCCTCCCCTTTCTGTCACTCCAGTCAGCGCTGGGGGAACAGAGAGGGGAGGGAGGCAATCCCTGCGGGAAGCAGTGACTTAAAGTCACCGCTGTCTGCAGGGAGATCAGGAACTGAGCTATCAGCGGTATGTGATCGTTCAGTTCTTGATCAATAGAACTGACGTGTAGCAGCTGCAGTGCACCTCGACTCTAATTATGGGGATGAGTGTATTTCACTCTCCCCATAATTCTCCTTTTAAGTATAGACAATTGCTTGTGTTTCACATAGTATAGTAAAATATGTGAACTCTTCTGGTTTCACTATGGTTAATATCTCACTGTTGCTTTGTCTTATGGTAATCATGAAAAGAGATGCAGTTCAGCATTGCCATGCTTTGAATTTGTGTGAAGGTAAAACTGTAGGAGTGAAAGAAAATACAGTACCTGTTCCTCAGCGCTACTTTTAGCGCATAGAATGCCTGATATTTAATATTAATACAGTAAATTAACATTTAGCAATGTTACGTTTTATAGGTGAAGCCATTGGGATGAACTATCCAGTGAAAGTTCCCTACAGAAAAATTACTGCCAACCCAGGATGTGTAGTAGTAGATGGAATGCCAGTAGGGGTTACATTCAAAGCCCCCAGTTACCTAGAAATAAGTTCTATGAGAAGAATCCTAGACTCTGCAGAATTTATTAAATTTACAGTTATAAGGTGAGTGTAATAATATACATGATACAGTTAGCTGATGTTTCTTAATAAAAGACATTTCTTTCTACCTAATTTGACAATATCTCTGGAAAGATTGACTCTTTGTGTATCACCAGTTTTGGAAGTGAAAAGAGTGAGAAAAAAACAATGAACAGGTCAAAAAGCGTATCAGACACACTGAGTATTTCAGGAAATGGGTGTTTAGATCAGGTGGAGGGCAGCTGATAAAATTGTATCCTGGTACAGGGCCAACCATGAGTGGAAAAAGCAAATTAATGCAAACAAGAATTGATGCACTATTGGGTGAATTTATAAACCTGTCAGAGAGCCATTCACCCTGCAGAATTGCATGTATGTTTGTTCTTTGTGAATGGAGGGTAAAATGAATGTTATCAGTATTTTTCTTTCCAGGTTGAATGTACTATCGGGTAAATACCACATTATGGCTACTAGATAGAGCTGAGGAGATTAGGAAATATGTTTTTCCTCAGCTCCAACTAGTGGCAATAATTAGGTATTTTCCTGATATTACCTTTGACCTGGAAAGGAAATATATCCTAATAAGGCCCCCTACACACTGAGCGATTTATCGCGCGGTAATTCCCGCGATATCGCGGCTATTTACCGCACGATATTGCTCTCCAATGCATGGCAATGGGGTTCTGTCCGTCGCTGTCGCGGGTCGTGCGTCGCTACAGATTCTAGCTTGCTCATTGCAAGCATTTGCGCGATAACGCGCAAAATGCAAATCGTGCGACAAACGCGCGATTTGCGAATCGCTCAGTGTGAATGGGGCCTAACATTTCTTAGGGTAACTGGCTCTATGAATTGTTTATAAATACACTCAAGTGTCATCAATAGGCAGAAATGGTACAGTAGAGGCTCACCACAATCTTGTCTGATAGGGTTGTGGTGTCAAATGCATCTCAAATGAGACCAATTCCAGTGACAAATTACTAAAAAGATTGATTTTCCATAGCCATGGTTCCTATGCTCACATTCCAGATTAGAATTTCTCCTATTCAGTATCCAAATGCATGCCATTCAGTCACTCTCTTGTTGAGGCTGGTATATGCATATTTCAAGGACAATTTCTGATTGCCATGGCGACTGAAAGAAATTCTCTGGCAATTGGGTTATTGAGAGCTATTGCCAGTGAGAGGTGGGTGCTGGAATGCCAGGGTTGCCACTTGTGCTGTGTATATTTTACATTGTATTGTTTTGCTCTCGGTAAAGCATTTTGTTATGAGGACCAGTGGGCAGTGTACGGAGGATGTGCCCCTCTCTGCCTTTACAACTTTGCAGCTTTATGCGAAGGCTTTTATCATGGCCCTACCCTGCACACATTGTCTTTGCATGCTGCTTAGTCTAGGCCCCTCCCTCTGCCCCACCCTGCTCACATTGTCCCAATACACTGGCCAGCGCAGACCCTACCCCACTCACATTATTCCCGCGACTGGATACACACCATATCCGGGCTTGGGATGCCACTGAGTCTGGGAGAGCTCTGCTTCTTCTGGTGGGTCCTGGCCATTGCCCACTTCTTTTTCCGCTTGCCCTACTTCAGTATGTCTAAGAAACAGCAGTAATTACATCGCCGGAGGTGCTCATAGCTATGAGTTCGCTTACAGTGTTTTTCAGATTACTGTGCATATCAGGTGACTTACTGCAGCAAGGTATCTGTACTGGGGATAAAATTGAGAGAGGACAAGAGAAAAGAGGGTATTGTATGGATAGGATAACCGTGCTTGGGTGTATAGGGGGTAACAGTGCTGGGGGTGTAGAGGAGTCAGGAGTGTTTAGTGTATATGTAGTGGTGGTAACAGTGCTTTAGCATTAGATAGAATAAATATATGGTAGCTAAAGGTATTTTTTTGGAAGAAGTCTTGGAAAAATAACTGAGAAACAGTGCTCTAGGTAAAGGAGAAATAAAAACAGCAAGTCTTCCTAAAAGGTCACAATGTACACAAACCACACAAGTGGGAGTTCATTTTTTTATCCGGGTTAAAAAGGGAAGTCATTTGACAAGAAATTTCCTAAATTGAGTAACACCAAGACCAAAATAAACAGTGATGGTGAAAATATACACAACAGGCTTTTAATGGTTTTGCTTTAGTTTTGAAAAGAATAAACACATTGAATATATCAGAAATGTTAAAACTCTATGTGTACATTTCTTCTAGGCCTTTTCCTGGATTGGTGCTAAATACACGTAAGTATACTTATGGCATCAAAAGCATGTTTTAATGTTCCTTAAGGGTTAGGACTAGGGATGCACAGATACTTTTCGAGTACCAGTGCTGATATTTGGCATTTTCATGAGAACTACCAGGGTTGCAGCTGGAACCTGGCTCTGGCGCTCCGCCACTGTCCTGAAATCATTAGTCTGTATTGTTTTAGAAAAACTGTCACATGATAATAAACAAAAATGTATCTGTACTCGTACTTGTAAGTACTCGGCAAGTACCAGTACTCGTACTCGCAAAACTGGTATCTGTGCATCCCTTTATTTATATTTATAAAAACAAAATCATACATTAAAACAGAGATATACAAATCCCAGGAGCTCCGTGTGCTCCTTACAAATGACAGCTGCCTCCTAATTTTTGAATTTTTCTCTAGTGTAGTCGTGGAGCTCAAAAGTATCGGTACATGTACTCGTACTTGTACCGAGTACTGTACTTGGTATCTGTGCAACCCTAGTTAGGACCTAAATTATTGTGTAAAAAGTTTCCAGATCGGAGTTAACATTGTTTATGTTGGTTATGTGTTTAGATGAAGCACTGAGATCTTGAGGAATGCTTAATTACGTTTTACTTGCTTATAAGAAGATAACATCTGTGTATACAGCATCATGCAGGAATCATATATATCATAGATAAGTAAGCATGCATATCGAAAAACTAGCATTGACTAGACTTGCACTACAGCGTTGTCTAGTGCTCAAAAGACATAGTTAGTCAGTGCATATTAGCATATGTTGTTGCATTTCCAACAGTTAAATGGCCAATTACATTCTGAGGTAAAATATTTAGTTGAGTGGATGTCATTTGTTTGCAATTGAAGTGTCACATTATCCTAAAATAAATGCATAACTGTCTGGAAAGCCCTATAGTTTGTGTGAAAATGCATCTAAACAAACAGCCTCAGGCCATGGGAGGTAACAAAAGTCCTGAAGAAGTTCAACATCCCCTGCAGCACCACTAAATTATTACAATCAAGCCCCCACTTACACCTGAGTAGTGTGTGAACGCCTGCAAAATCCCACAATTCATTGTTAATGGCACCCCAAATGTTCTAAGCAAGATGTGACAAACGATTGGTTAAAGAAACATGCAAAGCTCCTTTAAAATGAACTGGTAGCCCAATGAGCAATGTGCAAAAACGCACATGAATGCAATGTCGCACTACACATGTGTGAATGGAGGCTAATAAAAAATGGAATGCAATGCCTAGAGAAATGTGTCTGCCAAAACTCATTGATTGGGTTATAAGGGCATTAGTTGCAGAAGCCAGAGGCCATTAATAACCTACTCTAATAGGAATTGTAGTGATCCGCAGTATAATATGAATGCTTCACAACGGTGGGCTTTATGCAGCTGTTATGAATAACTAGCCATTGCTAAGAAAAAAAAATGGACCAAATCCTGTGTGGAGGTTCTCAAATGGCATGTGGCAGACACAGCAAACATGTGGAAAATGGTTTTCTTTCTTGTCTATTGAGAGACACAGGAAGTCTTCAGCTTTTTTGGGTCATCCAGCTGCCTACAGTTGGATTGGACACTGACAAAAAAACTGTAGGTCAGCCCAGGATAACCCCTTCTACTCCCAGCATGCCTTTTTTTTGCTAGGAGTATGTCTAAAGGTGCCCATACACTGCTCGCTGGAAATCGGAGACGTGCGACCGTTTCTACTGTACGGTTGCACGTCTTTCGTCGAACCAGCATGTTCGAAAACCAGCCGGGAATCGTACGATTCTCGGCTGGTTAGAACGGTGCTCGGAAGACAAATGGCGAACGGGCCGGTGTGCACAAGCACACACTGCCCGTTCAGCATTGCGGCCATCGGAAGCCCGCCCCTCAGGGGGGCGGGCTTGCGATGATCGAGAGTGCGATCTGCCTGTCCAAGATGGGCAGATCGTACGTTTTTTTAATCCCTGTACAACCATCGCAAGACTAAGGTCTTGTGATGGTTGTAGAGTGTATGGCCACCTTTAGGAGTGTGCACATCTTTTCTGCTCTGCTGGCAGTGTAACCTAGTTTTTGGGGGGTTTTTTCTCTTCAATTGAGATTCTTTTGTAAAAAGCTGATAGAGCTGGTCTGTGTGATTTAATTTAAGCTATTTGGCACAGCCAATCTTCAGCTTTGGTCTCTGCTGTGACCAGGCCCTCCTAGACTGGGCATTGCAGGGCTAGTCTGGAAGAGAAATACAGACACTGGGTTCTGTGTAAGGTGTTTTCCAGACCCCATTCGGGTGACAAGTGAACAATGTAGCCATGAACTGCTTTCCAGGACCAGAGCTATTGACATTGCCATAGTGCTTACTCTGTGCCTGAGTAAGTCGATTGGACTGAGCACCAGGAGCTACCTCATTCATTCTGATCATCGGTTGCCTTTTAAAATGTCTGCTTTCCAGCAGTTCTTAAACTGTGGAAGGGGTGAATGCTGAGGGACTTGGCTTTTACGTCATCCACTGGGTGGAGTGGTGCATGGGCATTCCATGGTCTCCTTCCTGACATTCAGTGTTGAGGACGAATCTCCCAGTTGTTGCTCCTACATTGCAAAGAGCCACATGGAACTGTGCTCTCTATTCTATTCCTACTGCCCACCTACAATGACTTTGGTCACCTCTGGCCATCCAGTACTTATCTGCTACCAGCTGTCTGGGTTTTGTGAGTACTTTAGCTTAGTTGCCTTACCGCTATATGGTTGCAGGGTGGTTGCAGCACATCTAATTCTAGACACAGACAGTTCCTCTTTTGTGGGTGACCCCAGTTCACACTCCCCTAAAGATTTTGGGGAGGATTGTTCTGTGCCTTCTGAATGTACCAATGTCTGAAATCTGGAATCCTGTTTCCCAATATTACAGAGTCTGGCTCATTATAAGAGTCCTCCTTGGCTCGGTCAGGTGAGGCAAAGTCCCTTGTCTTGTCAGTTAGTGTCTCTACTACAGTCACTTTGCAGTCAAATTCACCCAAGTTTTAGCTGATTCTGAACACAAAGGCTCTAAGCGCCCTCTTGTGCCTTACCCTGCAGATTCTATATCTGATCTGCCCATAACCTCAGAGGCATCTGAACCATTGGTCGCAGTATCCATTTCATACTGATCCAGAGTTGCCTCAGGCATGACAAAACACACCATTTTCCATGATTCTACATCAGAATACTTGGTAGACATTCTTTCATTGACTGCTAGAGAGAGCTTAATCCACATAAATATGACTGCATGTTTTACTCACACTCTCAGGCCTATTTACTAGAATAGGTTATCTTTTTGTTCTTATCTTCACCTTGGCTTAAATCCTGGGACAGTCCCTGTCCCTTGATCTGACCATTATTAAATCCCTGTGTCTACATCTATATTATCCCCGATCACTGGGTCATACTGGTAAGGAGTGCAACTAGCCTTTTCTTTTTTCTACATCTATATTCTCCCTCCCAAATGTTTACCTAACAACTGGACTTTGCATGATTCATTTCTGTCTGAAACTTCTGTTTGCTTTTCTCCAGAAATACCTGGTTGACAACAGACAACCTGATGTGTCCCACTCTATTCTATGTGAGACCCACTTTAAATCAAGGAAAAGCTTTTTCAGATAGCCTCCCATTCTAAAAAGGAGAGGAAACTTCATCTTACCCAACCTGAGTGTTCCAGTTATGTGCTGAATATTTTAAAACCTCACCTCTTAAGTAGTCTAAACTTAACTGAGTGAGGCAAAACCTTAGTTTACTATTAACGAATTAGGCCGAAAAGCAACTCAGTCACTCAATACACAAATACTATCAAAGAGGACTCATTGCTCTCCACTAAACTTCACATTTTGAAATATTAATCCTTTTGATAAACTTCTTACACTTAATGGACAAAGATGTGTACACTAGCAACCTTTTTTAGTAGCACCTAAACTTTACACAAGCTCTGACCATTTCTCATGATTTTTAGCAGGCAGAGCCAGCTGTCATTCACGCAGCTGGGTGGATCTCCACAGCATTGGTGGCGGCGTTCTCAGTATACCGCTAGCTGTAGCTCGCGATATACTGAGCTTTGGGTCACGGGAGGACCCTAGTATATGTCGTCCTGTGACCCTTAGGAGAACTATGGGGGAAAACACTTACCCCATAGTTCTCTTTTAACCTTCCCACAATGTTAGTTTTAAGCTGTGCATGGCTTTGAGCTGTTCATTTTTAACTTCCCCTTCCAAGGATAAGACACCTCCAGCATATGTTGCAAAATGGGAAGTGGGCTTAGGTTTTTCTTTGGCAATCTCATGAGTTTATATTGTCAGATGACACTGTGAATGTTATGTTGCTTGATTATAGTCAAACTCATCCATCTTCCCACTCATTCAATAATCCTTTACTTTGCTTTTTTCGTACTGTTCCATGGCTAAGCTGTACAAAGTCTGACCTTGGTACGCTATATTTTTTATATTGTTAATCCTAATAAAAACTTATTGAAAAAGGGAAGAGCCTTAAGAATGGCCAAGATGTATGAACCTTTGTCTTTTTCATGGCCCGTTCAAAGTCTTTCCTACCTCAGTCCTACTGAGAATTTGTGGCAGAATTTGAAAACGGTTGTCCAGTGCTCTCAATCCAACCTGTCAAAAGTTTTGGTGTTTGTGTGTGTTCAAATCTAAAAGACATGGAGCTGTGTAATTGCAGCACAAGGTGGCTGTACTGTCTCAAGGGGTAGGTCTTGTAAATAATTATTCAAATCACTGTGTATATACAGTTTACTTCTGGAATTCAGGGATTGGCGGAGTCAGCCATAATGGCTGGAAACCAGGACCACCAAGATAAAGAATTTTCAGTTTGGTGCATTAAAGGTCTGTCTAGGCAAAATATATATGCATTCTGAGAGGATTGCAAAGGGCACAGAGGTACAGTGTTTAAAGAGCTCTATATACAGATTTGTTTCTTTTGTCTTTCAGAAGCACTGGAAGAGAGTGAATATGGGTCTTCTACAGAAACTAGTAATTATGCCTTTTAAAATCTCATTTACGATTTAGCTGTTGTTAACCACTATAATATATTTTAGGCTTCATTCACACATGCCACTTGCGTTTTTATACAGAGATCTGTCTGCAAAATCTACCAGGCTAGATGCTTTGTTTACGTTTCTAGATGCCTAGAATTACATGCGTTTACACGCATATGCCTCTGACCGTTGAAACAGTCCATTGAAGTAGCCAATGAGATTTCAGCAAATAAATGTCTCTTGCGTTTAAATGCGTTTAGAAGTTAAAATCAGTTCCTGGAAGCACCAGACTTCTAATTTTCTAAACGCAACTAAACTGACTGCAGATAAAAGCATCTTAGAGCAAGGTGTGAATAGATCCATTGGAAATCATTAGATGCATATATATGTGTTTAAAAAAACCATTTCAGATGCATCTAATCGCACCTACGTAAATATAACCTAAAGCTCACCTTTACTGAAAACTTAATTTGAAGCTATGTTAACAGTAAAAATAACGGGTGGGCTAAAATACCTTTCGAGATAAGAATTCTGCTCCAGGTTGGCCACATGACGAAAGGCTGAGGCATTTTGGATCATGAGACAAGGTGAAAGGAAAGGGTTATAGCTCAAATTAACTATTCCTTCCCTTCAGCAAATATCTGGGTTGGTCAGGTGACCAGCATGGCTAGGAGCCTTGGGTAATGTTTTTTGATGGAATGTATTCTTTATTTCTCCATCTTAGCAAGACACTTGAATATATATGTCCATTCTTTTAATTGATATTGCAAACCTGTATTTAGGTTTACCTGTAGCATGTATATATCAATGCTGATGAGACTGCAGAAGAACTAACCTGCTGCTGGAACTGGCCACATAACCAATGTTAAAGATCTCAGAGATTTTTTGTTTTATTATGCCGCAGGCTAAAGCAGTCACATGGAAATGAGAATTCTGTTTAGGATGTCTCATCGCTGAGGTCCCTCCTAGATAAAAAAAAAAGAAAGAACATAGCTTCAGTTTTTGGTTAAGTTGGCCATTTAAGTTGTGTAATATCTTTCCTGTGTGTTAGTGCCCACTTAGTTCATCTTTACAGGGTGGGAGAGAAGGAACTGACACCTTCATTGCCCAATGTGCACAAACCAATCTGTAATCTCTTTGTTAACCTTATATTACCAGTAATGCTTTCATTCCTGACCATGGACACTACCTTGGGGTCCTACTCAGGATTTATATAAGTGTAATGGCATCCCAAAAGAAACACCTTTAAGTCTAACAGATTGTCCACATAAAACTATTTTGGAAAGTTACAATCAGAATAGGACATTATAAAATGTAGTGCAGAGATAATTACAGTGAAATGTATTTTACAAATGTACAACAAATAGGTTGTCAAATGCCAGTTATATATGAGAAAAATTATACTAATACGTTTGGACACTATACACTGAATTTGAGTTGCTATTCATATAGATGATAACTCTCCTATATATAGCTTGAGACATCCTGTTGTTTTGCTTCCTAAAGGAAACTGTAACAAGAACCAATCAGAAGAAGCTAGAGAAGAAGGTATTCCTCATACGTTTCCATTCCATAACCATGCAATTTAGTAGAATTATTATTTCCACCATTCTTTGTGAGGCAACAAGTACTATATACTACAAACAGAGGATAGTTAGTAAAAATAAAATGTTTCTGCACCAAAGATTAAAATCTTTTCAATTGGCAACTATTTCCAACTGTGTTTACAGGCTAACAGTACTGTAGACCAGTGGTTCTCAACCTGTCTAACCTCGGGACCCACATGTTTCCTTGGTCATTAAGGCGTGACTTTTGGGTCGCGACCCATGAGTTGAGAACCACTGCTGTAGACGACATAAGGAACAGCGACATTCAGACATCTGCCTATCCTTAATTATGCTGCCACATGATCAGGACCTGCCATGAGTTTCTGAAAACCTCTTTCAGAGTAATATTTAGGGGTCTATTTATCAGTGTTTTCACCCAACATTCAATCCTTTTTCTAACCAATTTTTGGGTTAACCACTTGAAGTCCGGGGTGTTAAACCCCCTTCCCATCCAGGCCATTTTTCAGTATTCAGCGCTGCGGTACATTTATTCCGTCATGCAACACTGTACTGAAATGAATTTTATACCCTTTTTTGGGGACAGATAGAGCTTTCTTTTGGTGGTATTTAATCACCACTGCGGGTTTTATTTTTTACTATATTAAGGAAAATGTACAGAATCTTTTTTTAAAAACTGTTTCCCCTATATTAAAGTCTAAAACATTTATTATTACCCAATTTGTTGGTAAAATATAAAAGACTGGGTCACGTTGGGTAAAAAGACACCAAACATGTAAAGCCTTAAAATTGCGCACGTAGGGAGACAAATTTGCGCCATACAACCGATCGGCGGCTATAGAGCCGCCGATCGGTTGTATGTGAAACAGCCGTTAACGGCTGTAAAAATGAGTCAGTCTTTCCTGCCTGTGCACGCGTGCTAGGGGGCGCACGCGAGCAGGAAAAAAATGCCGCCTGGAGACGGCAACCTGCTGATGCGAGTCCGCCATCTGTCCGTTTTTCCTTAACGGGCGGACGGCAAGAGGTTAAAGTTGGATGAATCTTGTGTGTGAAAAAATGATAAATAGCCCCTTTGGCTTGCTCAGTTTTGAAGGTCTGTTCTTGGTAGATGTGAGAAAGTAACAAACAAAATATGTATGTACGATTTTCAGCGGGTTGGTAGCGGGCTCGGAAGACAAAAGCCACACTGCCCGCTCAGCATTGCAATCATCGGCAAGCCCTCCCCTCAGCGGGGGGGGTTGCTTGCGATGATCGCAAGTATGATCTGCCTGTCCAAGATGGGCAGATCGTACGAAATTTGAATGACCTTACAACCATCGCATAACGAAAGTCGTGCGATGGTTGTAAGGTGTATGGCCAGCTTTACACTTATTTATTACAGCTGTGTATTTAGCAGCCTACCTGAATTTGAAATTTTGTTATATTGATGTTTAATATAATGTATGTACTGTATATATGTATGTTATATGTATATTCATTTATTTTGCTTGTTAGAACCTCAAGAGGAATTAAACATAAAGCAGGAACCAGACCCATAAAGCAGGACCATTATCATTTCTAAGGTAATAGTTACTATGATTCTATATCAAACACCATATTTCATGTTTTGAATGTTTTAGGTACTGTAAATTAAATTTATGGAACCATAATGAACCAATCAAATCCAATATATCCAGCACAAAAATCTCAGGTTGCATGACGCTGGATAATTCTGAATACTTTTGTATTCACTCTTAACTTTTCACAGGGGTGTGGAAATTTTTTTTAAAAACTACTTGTCCAAGGACTAAAGTGGGGGCCCGATCTGCTTGTCCCTCATTGAAATCTACTTGTCCTGATGCAAAAAAAAGAATTATTTTTTTTTACCCAAAATCGTTTTTAGCAGTGCCAAGAAGAGCTCATTTGTCAGTGCTGTCAGGTGACCGCCCTGACCAACGAGTGCTTGAATTTTGCGAGCAAAATTCAGAATACATGGCACAGGTACAGATAGTACACCCATACTGGCGGATGGGAAGGACCGTTCGTTGAAAGGTAAGTATAGCAGGGTGGGAGAGGGGACCAGATTTGTGTGTGTAATTCCATTTTCCCAAATTATTTGGGAAAATTAATTTACCTTTTGGGGTGGGTGCAGACTTGGGCAAGCGTGTGTGGTTGCCACGCGGCCCCCTTGATTTCAATGAGGTTACATCCGCGTGGTAATGGCTGAAAAAAGGTACATGTACCTTTTTTTTGTGGCACACACCGTGCTGTGTTTTCAACCGCGATTATGTGCGATTGCACGGGCGTTATTACGGCGGTAAACTGTGCAATCTGCCTGGCGTGACTGGGGTGCCATTAGACAATAACACGGTTTTGTGCACGATTGCTGTGCGGTAACGGATCGCACACTCCGCTCTCACACACACACAAATGCCCCATGCATGCATTTATTCGCATGCAGATGATAGGGGTTGGTTTTAATTTTTTACATTTTTATTTATCATTTTTTATTTTTGCTTTGTAATATTTGTAATCATTTATTTTATTATTTTTTACTTTATCGCCTTTTTATTTTTTCCATTTTTAATATATTTTATTTTTTACTTTTTTTTTGTTTACTTGACTTAACTGTTATCACGCAAGAAGTAACAAGCCCTTGTGTGATAGTTTTTGGAGGTGACAGGTTCTCTTTATTAACCCTGTCACCTCCAACACAGGAGTTCTAGCACTGAACTGTGCTGGTTCTCCTGTGACAGGAAGGGTGAATTCCTGTGTCACTATTCACATGGAGCAGAGAAGCGTTCTCTACCCTGCTCCTTGCTCTCTAACCTAATTTGCCGTGGTCACGGATCTCCCACAAGAGGGGGGGGACCCCAAAGACCATGGCAAAAAGGAAGCTTGTGTGCAAGAGAGGCAGCCGGGAGCCGTACACGGCCGGCTGGCTGCCAGAGATAGAGAGAGAGGGGAGGGGGAGCGTGCCTCAGGCAGGTTACAAGTGATTTTTGGACGGCTGTACAGCCGTTTAAAATCACTTGTACAAAACGGATCCCACACTACATTTAGCCACGCTGCTTGCCTGCTGCTATCGCCCGGGACTACCTGTCCCGGGCTATAGGAATTCCACACCCCTGTTTAAGTGTATGCCTGGGCAAACACACAACTCATTGAGACGCACAAGAATTTAGATATTCTATTTTCTATTATGGTCAGTTTATGCTGTCACCTGCAGGATATTGTGACACTGGTAAACAAACAAAAAAAAAACACATTAAAAGCCGGCCCTCATATAACCCATCCTCTACCCATCATGCCTCAATTTTTGATAGTGTCCAAGGAGGTTGGACACTTTGTTTTTCTTCAACTCTGCTGGAAAACAGTTTCCCATATTATAGTCTTTTTATGTAGATTTGTATTCCTTTATTGACTTGCTACACTAATCCTTGATAAACTGCAGATATTTTTTCCTTGTTGACTTCCCTCAAGAATTCCACTGCTTCTTGAGCTAATCTATGCATAACAGCTACCTGGATCAATGTATTCTCAGACTTCAACAGCTTTGGAGGCTGTACTTGTGGCTAGCCTGTGATGTGACCTTTTGGGCTCTGCATTGTGGCACTTTCCAGACCTGTGAGAACTCTGCCAGTAGCAGAACGCTTTCTGGGTCCAGGGCTGTGGCGCAGCCTTTGTTGTGATCCAGTTTCTTAAGACCAAGGCCAGTCGAATTGGAGTGCTGACCACCATTCCTGCTTCTGCTCTTAAAGCCTAACTTGGATTATCATGTCTCTTTTTGCTGCCTGCCTACAGTGAATTGGTCACCTCCATTGCCTGTGACTGCTAGATTTTGTAAGTGCACAAGGCCTTGCCTCCGTTTGGGCCTAGTTCAACACTACGCTGTGCAACATATCTTCTTAAAGACCTTATTATTGGGTCATCCGCATCATAGGCTTCGTCAGCTCCGTCTGCCTTCACAAGGGCCCCCACCATCACTTTTGCTTGTAGAGGCTCTGAGCACACTTCTGCAGCATTCCCGGAATAGCTGTAATCTAGCAATACACTGCGCAAACCTTGTCTGTTTTTTTGATGAACCAGCTGAAATTCGCTCACTGGGTGATCCTTTCCGCTGCCTTCCATTCGGCATCCTTTGGATCAAAAAATTGAAGGAGCAGGCCAGAACATTTGTGGGCGAACAGTGACTGTGTGTGCCACTATCAGAATACCCAGTGACAGAGTACAATAGCCCAGGGGAGATTCATCCATCCATCCTGTTTAGCATAGATGGAGTAATCTGTTATATTTTTTTTTTTTTTTCGGAATGCAGTTTGAGCTAAGAAAATATACCATTGTATGGCCAGCTTAACTCTGACCTATCTGGGCCTCCAACTTAAAGTGTGCCCCTGTTACCCTCTCTACCTCAGATTCAGAGTCCTCAGAGAGAGGCCACCTGGGGACAACTCGGGTTTACAAATGGTTTTTCTAACCTAACTGATCCGGTATGTGCAACCCTGTATTTAGAGGATCAGCCTGCTATTTCTGGCCTAGGGTCTTTTAGAGCACCCACCACTGCAATGGCCATTCACTGACTGTTTAAGTAATTCCTCTATGGGAACTGGGGACATCCTGTAACATTCTGGGTCCTTTTAGAGAATATAGCAAAGCTTTTCCCCTTTGAAAGATAATTTACTGCTTGGTGGGCTGTTTCCACTGTAGATGCACATTAACAGATGTACAGTACTACCAAGTGGGTTGATGGAGTTCTCACCTTTTTGTTCCCATCTGTTTTATTCCCTTTATGGATTCCAGTTTAATTTAGCATGAATTACTTTGTGCCTCGCGTTGGCAGTGACCTTGATTTGTGAAACTGTGCTGCTTAGACCTTGCACTTCAACTGTGACAGCCTGTTGCAAGTATCCAAGCTTGTTCCCCGCATCCTTCATATGCATAGGGCACTTTGGCTATGTGCATGGGATTCCTGTATATACGTCCAAGGAAAATCTGACTTGGTTGTACCTCAAGTAATGTCACTTCCTTGGACCAGCTCTTAGTGC